AAATGGGAGATGCTTGGAAATGTAAAGCAAAAATAAAAAAATGAGTTTTCTTTTTGGGTGTATTCAGCTATGATGATGAGGATTCCAAGTTTTGGTTTACCATTGCAGTGTTCCCGCCTGAAGGGGAGGAAAGGCTGTGTCTCCTCGGCACGCTGGGAGAGCAACAATGATGCTTTTCATTATTTTTTTCCACAGGGCTGTGGTTCTTCAGTTTTCCTGGGGGAGATGAGAGGTTGCAGTGAAACCTGTGAATGTGAAAGATTATAGAACTGTCTGCTCAGCAGACCCAATGCATTCCCTAATGTCCTAGGAATGTTCAAGTATTTCTGGTAGTTGCGAGTAGTTAATGCCCTTTTAGGTACTGTTAGCAGAGCTTACCTTGTGGTGATAGTTTTTGTAACAGTCAGTTCAAGAAGCAATTGATATGTGCTTGGCCTGAGTCTGCTGGATCAGGACATCCTTTGATTTTGTGCCAAAGTGATGGACTCATGCATTTAGTGCATGGACAATTATTTGTTCAATTTACATCATGATTTTAAGTTATTTAATGTTAAATTAATTGCATGTAAAGTAGACTTAGAAAGATGGTATTTGGTTTTTTGTTTGTTTTTGACTGTGTAGCTGAAGGATTTCACTTCTGTGCCATTGTTGTAACTTTTAGACAAATCTCATGCTAACTGGATAATTTCTTATTCTGGCATGTATCTCGTAGACTTCTGTGGCACATTGCAAGGTCAAAATTGCTATTTTGTGAACGAATGTTTTCATAGATAGAGTTATGAAGGCCTGGAGGAAAAAAAAAAAAAAAAAAAGCAGGGTGGATATGTTTCAATGCCTTCCATAGGTTAGACATAGAATATATTCCTCTCAGACTTTGGAATCTCTGGCTTCCAACCTGGCTAGACAACTGATAGCACCGTATAGAATTCTTTCAATTGGATGTCATGCCAGGACTTCTCCCAGGTGAAAGTTGTCTTTATTTTGTTTGGCCAAAAAAAGATGTTTGGACTTGTTCTAGTTTCTGAAGAAAGGGTGAGGTCTCCTTAAGTACAGCTTTTTTTTTTTCTTTTTTTTTAGCCTGAGTTAAGACTGTGGAGCTCAATACTCCCTGCCGTATCTTGTCTAATATCTTTCTTTCCTGAGGCAACAAAAGTCAAGTGACAGCTGTGGAGCAGTATGCTTTCAAAAACAGTGTCTTAATTTCATTAATTCATACAGTGGTACTTCATCTGTCATTAACTTAGGAGCAGGGCTCTTGTAATATGTTCTGTTGATAAAGCGAGGCCATCTAGAAATGAATTGTGTCTAGCTATAACCAAAATTCTCCTGTACAAAAGTATAAGAAAAACTTTCTTCTGTGGCATTCAATTGATGTGGCAGCCGTGGAAATACTCCATCATAAATTGAATTTTCCTTTAGCATTTGACATCACGCTCCTAAAAGAAATGAGGAGGCACTGATCACTTAAATCTATCAGTTCCTAACACTGTTTTGCTATTCATCTGAGATGGCTCCTGACATTTCTAGAATAGTTCCTTGAACAGTACAGCGTGAGGTGTATGTAAGGTGATGAATGCTGACTTTTTCCCCCTCAACTAGTTTTTTAGAATTCTTTTGTGGTTATGCAAATACTTGCCTTGTGACAGAACTTCTTCCTTGTTAGCACTACCCCTGTGTTGCTTAGAGGATTCACCTGTGAGTTGCTGTTTGCTGGGACTTCGGTGATTTTCCTGTGACTTCATCTTCTGTAAAAAGGTATAGCTAAGTTCAGCAGTTCAGAAGTAGTATGAAGTCACAGGGCTGTAAACCATCCATTCAGACCGCATTATTGGGAGATTTTCAGGTTTTTGATCTGGCTTAATTTCTGATAGATCTTGTGTTTGCTGTAGTAGCCCAAGGAACTGCCAGAAGTGCACATATCAGAAGATAAAGGAAAATTGGCAAAGAGGTCTTGTCACGCTGGTTGACAGGTAAGTTTTTAATGTTTACTAAAAAGCTGGGATCTTTCAAAAGCTCAAGCCAATTAAATCATTACTCACGATTTTCAAATTGGCTTTGAGTGAAACCCCTACTCAGTTAACATCTGAAAATCTGCACCCTAGAAGTACAAGGCATTTCTGAAATGGCATGTGCTGAACTGTTAAGTGTGTAAGGAAAAACTCCAGGTGATAACAAGACAGATTCTTATACTGGCATATGGTGATGTCGATAAAAAGAAAAAAAATCCCTGCAATCCTATTAAAATAATTGCTGCTGCAAGGTAATTAACAGTGGTATCAAAACAGATACATCTCTGCAAAGGTTACGGTCAAATACAGGTCATTTTCTCAGAGCAATATTTCTTTCCTGGTACCTTTACTTGGTTACTTCTGAATCTGACAGTGTAATCCAAGTGCTGTCACTTTGTCTGCTGGATACTGATTCTGTTGCGACCCTACTGCAATATTAATGAAAAAGCATAATGTGGCTGGCTCAAAGACATAATGCTTTCTATGCTTTAGCCAGTTGGAAACAATTCAATTTCTAAAGAATAGCAATATATTTTCAAATCTGAAAACAAACAAGCAAAATGCTTCCTTGATCTTTATCTATTAAATTGAAAATGAAAATTAAATTGGAGGGTTTTTAATAGTTTAGATAGTAGCCTCCTCCTTGTGTGCTTTTTATCAGCTTATGTAATACACTGTTCTGTATTATAAAAAAAAAGGTCTAGAAACATTTAAGTAACTTGAATTATTTTTAATTCTAGTACACCTGTGACCTAATGTACTTCAATCTTTGGATTACTGATGTTGTTCTGGCTGTTAGCTTGTTGCCAAACTGTGTTCTGTTACTACAGCATTTTTCCCTGGTAGTGAAGACGTAGCATGATAGACTGGAGTTTGTTCCCTGTCCTTAGTTTTGGTTGGCCTTCAAGATAATTCATTTCAGACATTTCCCATTTTTTCACTTGTGGCATGGGATTAATTGCTTTAACACTCTTGAAAAATACAGCATCTGCTTAGAAGGATAAGCTTGAACCTAACCTGTGTGATACCTGCCTTCCATGAACAGACACTTCAGATGCAAGGCTTGGCCTGCTCAATCCATCTGGAGCAGAAATGGTTAGCTGAAATTTAGTTTGAGTTGTGAGTGAATGGATGGGAGAAGACAAGATTGAGTCAAAACCTCTTTTTGGTACTATGTGCTTGGGGATAGGGGGGAATGTCTTCTGTGACTGTCGTAAGTATCTGAGACTGGCATGAAAAGCCCTTGGTCTTGGAAGGATCATCAAGTTGAGGCTTTTCACAAACCAGCAGTATCTCTCCTTGCCTAGCCTTGATGTACATTTTCTGGAGCCTCGTTCAGAGTTCCAGATGTTTTTTACATTCATTGCAGGATGAGTTTCAGCAACTGATGGAATTGTTTGGTTAAAGCAGGAGAATCGCTGGTCAAATCTCATGACCCTGGAGACGAGTGTAAGTCCAGTTTCTGTGACAATCTTTGTAACTCTCTTGATCTTGTTATTAGTAAACAATTGGCAAAGCAGCTTTTATTTAAAGCCTAACCTGCATGCAGGGCTGTCTCAGCACCTCAGAGATCGGTGGAGTCACTTGGAAATACTGAAGTTTTAGAATCTTAAAGCTGTATTTTGAAACTAGCTTTGTCAGAGTAAATGAGTTTCTCCACATTTAAAATAAATAAGAGTATTAATAATAAAATTTATTTCTAAGGGCCATAGGAGTGTTCAGACTTAAGATTCAGATCCTGTGGGTTTGAATAAAAGGCTTTTCAGTGACAAAATATTTCTGAAAGTTCCCAAGAGAGCAGATGCTTCGTGTAGATTAAAATTTGCCTTTAATGTAACTTCAGGAAGGCATGATGGGACAGTATTCCCTGGGGACTTCAATAGCGATGGTATTTGTTTTGTTTTTAACAGGAGTTTCTTATAGATCTTAGCTTTAAAGAGTAAAGTAACACGGTCCTGTTTTTGTAGTTGTAGCAGTTCAACTCCTTCCTGAGTAGGCTGATTAAGGCTGATTATTCAATTGATTTCATGTTATACGTGGAGTGAAGCAACACAACCAGAAGTTGCGGTTTCCTGACCAAAAATGAGTATTTTTAAGATTTTAAATCCAAAGTGTTTGGAGGGTATTAAAGGCTGTTGTTAGTGCAGATTGGGAGCGACGTCCGGAGCAGACACGGGTGTTCTTTCCCTCTTCCTTAAGCACGTACCATTGAAGTACGAATGAAAGGCACGTTTCCCCGGGCGGTCCCTGTGCGTCCGTTTTGGAGCGAAGCGATCGGCGAGGCCTGCAGCTGTGCGGCCTGGAGATTCCGCGTCAGACTGAGGCGGAGCTGCGGTTCCGTGCAGCCGCAGGGCTGGGCGCCCCGCTGCTGAGGGGGGACGCTCTACTCAGCGGACGGCGTCGTGCGCCGCGCCAGCCCGCCTTTCGCAGGCGGCGGCCACGGCCTCGCCGGACGCCCCGGCACTGCGATGGCCGCTACGGCTATTGTTCGAACGTAGATTGGTGCACTCCGAGGAGCTCTGCGGCTACTGCAGGCCAGGTTCCCTCCCAGCGTGGGCACGGGCGTGAGGGATCCTTTGCAGGGGTGGCCAAACGGGTGGTGGGACGGGCGCACATGGCCCGCGGCCCCTGAAGTGAGGAGCGGCCTACAGAGGGAAGCGGCGCGGTGACTTTTGTGTCGTCTCACGTGCGGAGAAGCCAATCCCGGTGCACCTTAAGTGAGCGGCGCGTCCTTCCGCCAATCGCTAACGAAAGCCCTCATCGTGCAGGTGCGGTCGGTTGCTGTGGAGCCGACGTATTGCTCGACCAATGAGATTTAGGGGATGAGGCGGGACGCCTCAGAATAGACGGCGAGGCGGGCCGAAGGGTAGAGTGGCAAGGCGTTGTCTAATAGAAACTCGGCGTTGTGTTTGAACCGTCCACTGAGAGGACAGCTAGGGGGGCGGGCCTTACGCGCTGCATAAAAGCTGCGGCAGGGGCGGGCGGGGGCTGCGTTTGTCACCGGCAGCGGTGAGGGTACGGCGAGGGGGGAGGGAGCTCCGTTCCCAGTACCGTCACTTTTCACCAGCGCCTTAACGGAGCCCTTCCCCCGTCTTCTCCATCCTTGCCGCAATGACCACCACAACCATCTTCTCGGGCATGGACCCCAGCGGCAGGAACAGCTCCAGGTCCGGAGGGGAAGAAGGGGCTCCGAGGCCTTCGGGATCGTTAGGGCGGCGCGTGGCGGGGCTGCGGTTCCCCGTCAGCTCAGGCTCTGCAGGCGGCGGGAGGGAGCAGCGGACGGACCCCGGGGCGACGCCGGCCGGGGAGGCATGAGCAGCGGCTGGGTCGGGGCTGGGAACACGCCGGGCCGAGCAGGAGGCGGGGGCGGGCCGCACCCAGCGAAGGCACAGCCGGCCGTTTCGGGGCTCGGCAGGGAGGGGAAGGAACCGAGCCATGCGATGGCTGTGGGTGGGGGGCGAGCCGCGAGGGTGGGAGCTCGCAGGACTCGCCCTGGGCAGCCGCCCGCCTCAGCCGCTTCCTAACAAAGAAGGCAGGCGAATCCTTCGGCCCGGCGCAGCCGCGCAGCCGGAGCGCCCCGGGGATCGCCGCTCCGCTCCCCTTCCTCGATGCCTGCCGTCGTCCCCCCTGCCCGCACCGCGCCGAGCGGATCCGGCGTTTGGGTGGGGCCGAGGCGGCTCTATTGTCTGCTCCGCCGCCCTCCTCGCCCCCCGCCCTACCTGCGCACCAAGCTTTCTCCCCTCGCGCGGGTGACCGCCGCCCGCTCCGCGGTGCCCTCACCGCCATGCGGCGGTGTCCGTTTCGTTAATCTCATTGTGTACGACCGCTTTAACGGGCTCATACCCGGCTCGCAGCGAGCATGCTCGAGGGGAGGGGGAGGGAGTGGGGGTGACGCCTTTCCTCGGCTCCGCACCCCCGGGCCTCGAGGCGTCAGGAAGCGCGGGACTCGGCGGGCCCGGACGGAGCTGGAGCCGGACCTGGAGCTCGCGCGGAGCGGCTCTTGGAACAAAGGGAACTTCGGGAAGGTGCCTGGAAGGGTCGCGGTCAGCGCCGCGCTTTGGCGGCCGTCTTCTCAATATGGCTTTGGCTTGGCGGAACAGTAACTAACAAAAAACACTTGAAAAGCCCTTCCTAAATATGGGCGGATTCTCAGTGCAGCACTGCGGGTGCCAGGTGTGATGTTAAGAACAGTGCTTTGCTGAGGCACGCTCAAATACCTCAGGACTGGGAGAATCTTCTAATGAACCTTCGTCTAGCATTGGCAGAAATGATCACTTAATGGTTTAAGTAATTGCTCTTTTGCTTCAGTTACTTTTTCTGTTAATCTCATTAAGTCTTTGCAAACTGTTACACTGTTAAGAGCAGTGGTTTCGCTGCTGTAGTAGAAGAAAGATGATGTAATGGTAAGTGCAACAGATGTGGCATAAAAAAAAGCAGGCACTTCTTCTGTTTAAGGAAAAAAAAATGGCACTGGCAATTCAGGATCATTGTATCATCTCCATTCAGAAGGGAGAAGAAGAAAATTTTAGGAGTGTTCTTGGATTTCTTAAAACGCATGACCCAGTTGGCTGGGGTCTTCCCGTTGATTATGTATTTGGAGATGGATTTTGTAATGAAAATCAGGTTAGCAACAGTAAATACCCATTTCAGACATTTTCATTATTTTCTTACCGTGGTCTTGAAGTCCCATAGACTGGGAAAGTGTTTCTGAGTTACATCTCCAGCGCAGTAGGCACCAAGCCTCAAAAAATCCAAGTGCTGTTTGCAGTGGTGCTGGCGCTGCAAATTCTGACATCGTCTTTGTGTGGAATTCACAGCTTTGTTGTATTCACCATAGAAAACACAGCTTGTTACATTCTGACTTTTTATAGTTCTAGTGTTTTATTAAACTGTTAGAAGAGGGAACGTGTCCCTTCCCTACCTACATCGGCTTCATTTGGGAGCACTGGGTGCATTGGAAACACCATTCTGTTGGTGTACTGAAATGTTTTTAACATCAGCCCGGTAGCCTGCCCCAAATTAATTTTTCTGATTGGAGAAATCTAGACAGAGGCTGCAGTCCAGTCGTCAGTATTGCAAGCAGCACTACGGCTCATGCCAAAGTTTACTCTTTGCTGTACCACCAATGTGAAGATTAATTGCCTTCACAGGGTTCTTTAAAAAGAAACTTAGTTTTGATAAGTGACACCAAAGAGAAGAGCAGTGGAGATAAAATGCCTGGATTGAATTCTGGGAAACCATTTAGTTTTATAGTTTGAGTTACGCAGTCAAGACATAACAGTGAGCGTTGGTTATTAAACGCTGTAATACAGACACCTCATGTTTACATTTGGCAGTGCTCAGCCCATGCAGCTACCTGCTACAAGAGCCAGCAGTGCTCTCTTAGCATAGTGGGCTTTCTGTGTATGTTGGGAGTGCTGCTTAGTAATGCAGGCTGTAAGGCTGAATCTCTCTGCAGAGTGCTGCGTCCTCCTGGCGGTGGTTCCAACTTTTCCTTGGGTTTTGATGAACCAAAAGAACAGCCCACACGAAAGAACAAAATGGCATCCAGCATCTTTGGAACTCCTGAAGAAAATCCACCTTCCTGGGCTAAATCGTCGGGTAAGAACACTGCTTTCTTTGCAGGTTTGCTGACATGCATTAATCCATTTTTGGGATTGGCCTGAAGCTGCTGCTGTCTGTGGTTGGAAACTGAAGTTCATTTCTTGCTTTGTAGATCAGGGCTAGAAATTAGCATTACTGACGTGGGATTTATTATTATTATTATTTATTTAATATGTAAACATCGGACCTAGGTGTTGTTGCAAGCAGGTAGCTAAGAGAGAGTGTATTTTTGGATGTAATTTCTCCAGATTAATTATGTTAGAGTAGGGCAAACTTGTGACTTAGTATATGGGATAGTACTTATTGTTCTTGATCAATCAGAGAAAGCTTTGCTTTGTGTTGTACCTGCAGCTGGGATTAAATTTCCATTTCTGTAGATCATTTCCTAAACAGATGGCCCTGGGACCGTGCTATCCATCTAAGCGATGCCCTCAGCTGCACAAAATGCTCTTGTAATTTGTGAGTCATTATGTAAAGAACCAGGACAAACTTTGAATGGTAAAGCTTTAATTCAAAAAAGAAGTAGAGGGAGGAGGAAAAGAAAATAAAACATGCCACATCACTTTTTCATCTACTTTCCTGGTAAGTTTATCTTGCAGCCTAATTAGAATCAATCTCTGCTGCTAGGGACAAAGCCAGGTGAAATCAGAGAAGACACTGAACCATCTGGAGCACAGAGAAACTCAACTGATGCTAACTGTGGAGACGTAGATCCAAAGGTCAGTATGCTTCCTGTAAAGAGCGTGCTAATAGGCTACATTGCTCTCTGGCTGCTTTGTCAGTGACATATGCACAGTTGAAAGCCCTGTAGAGTTTGAAACCTTGTTCTTAAATCTGTTCTTACTGTGCAGGTTCCCTTTTCCACGTGATAGTTCTTGCATGTTGTAGAAGGGTTGGATTCTTCTAAATGTGTATTTTCTAGACTCTTAACTTTTCTTTCTTCCTGATGGGACAGCAGTGAAGTGGTGTGAGATCTTGCTTCAGCCTTAAGCATGCAGTTGTGTTTTAACACAAAGGTTAGCTACAGTGAACTCTGAGTTTATTGACTTACGTGGGATTTGGTCTCATACCCAGCACCATGCTTCCCAGTGGCAGGAATGCTTGTTACATTTGTGTTGATGCCTTTAGTAATGCCATCAGATGTGTTTCTTTCCATGTGAGCTGTTTACTTGATAGCGATATGGAGCATGATTCGTAGTGTTACCCTACCCTGGCTTTTGCATTATGTACGAATACAGTTAATGGGGAAAACAGGATGAGAAGGCTCACACTCGCATAAATAAATTCTGTAGGTGGACAAGAAATGTCTCAAGTTTTAGGTTTCCAGAACAGAACTAGATAGGTAAATTTTTGGCAGATATCTTTTCCCTCGTGAGTTGTAAATGACAGGTTTTATTTTGATAGCAGGCATCAATCATCAGTTTAACCCATTTCTGTTGTTAGAAGTGTATTTGAGCCTCAGAATTGTTTGTTAGATAAAACGTCTTGTTCCAAGTTAACAAAAGTGAGATATATAAATTTGTAACTGCTGCCACAGAACACAAAAATAAATGATTTAGTCTTAATTCTATTTTCTGTTTTATTTATTTAAATAAATGTGTTACCATTCTCAGCTTTGCAATCATGATTCTCATAATAGAAAATATTTTAATGTTGTGCAGTGATTAAAACTACAGACAGAAGCTAGAGCTTCTGAGGGGGATTTTTGTGTACTAATATCCTGACAACTGAAAGTTCACTTTGTAATTATCAACTTTCATAGATTGAATGTTGCTAAAACCTTATGCTATTGTGGAACCCTTGCTGCTGCTAGAGGACTTGCTGTATCTTTGTGTCAAGTTACATTCTGAAGAGGTTGATCATGAAGAGAATGTTTAGCTGTTTATGTAATGAAAGAAATTTTATCATTGTCAGAAACTGGTATCTCAAAAGCTAAATACACCAGATGGAATGAATGTTCTTGGCTTTACTAGCAATTACACGTTAGGTGTTGGAAAGAGTCACTTAGGAAAAAAGAGGAGACACTGATGGCTAATGGCTTAATTTATTGTCATTGCTGCTTGACAGTTCCAGTGTTCTGGTTTCTGTCAGTTCTGCCTAATGAGGGGTGCTGTACACAGTAGTGCTCACGGCCACCCGCATCTTTCACAGTGGGGGCATCGCATGTACACTGATGTTACACGTCATTGGGATTACTTCAACTGTATCTTTTTTTAAACTTCTGGAGTTGTGTTACATAACTGACCAGTTGATGAAGTAAGATTGTTCACTGTAGGAATTGGTGCTTACAAATCCATCGTTTTAAATCTCTTGAAACATGCATCTAGAACCATTTGCTCTACTCTGCTATCTGCCTGTAAGAGTGGTGTCAGTCCAGAAGTGCTTCAGTGGGTCTGTCAGAATGTTGCTTGGCAGAGCAGTGTGTCCAGCTGCAATGGCTTGATCAGTCACAGTGTGAGTGCCCTCTCAATGGAAGCCAGGTAAAACTACATTTTGAACTATAAGTTATAATGTGTTCCTCTCTTTTCTAGGGAGGAGATGGCGGTGGTGAAACATTTGGTGAGTAACTCCTTCAGGCTTGTAAAAACATTTTCTCAAAATAGAAGAAGATGGGAGAAAAAAAAAATCTCAAGAGAGCTTGGTTTGCCGTTAGAACCCATCAGATCATGAAATTACCTAAGTGCTTCATCAGAAATTGCTGGTGGTGATACAGAATGTAATAGCAGAATGCCTCTGTTAGACATCACGTTAAAAACGAGAGCAGTCCTGTTCATTTATTTTGCCAGCAGCAGCATCTGGTATCAAGATCTAAATTTGTAAGGCAAGGTGGATACCATCCAAAGACTTGTGTGATTGATAGATTGTACTACATTGTAGTAGCTTGTAATTAAATAGTACAGTCAATTCCAGAGATTTCAGGTTTTGCTTTTACCTTTGTCTTATTGTCTTCCCACACAGCAAACGCTCAATTCACAGAAATAATCAAGAACAGCTATTGCATCTGAAAGCATCCTCATTTATTAGATTTCAAGTTCCTGATGCTTTTTAAATGCTGATTTTTTGTAAGGAAGTAAGTAATCACAATGCAGATTTCACCTGGCAGAATGTATGTTTATCCTGAGGGCTTTTTATGTAGCTCTGGCGCTGGAAATCTCTCCTTACCAAGATTTTCGTTGAGAATAGCTGACTTCCTGATGTGAGGAATATGTCTGTTCACCAAGTACCTCTAAGTGTTACTTCTAACACCTTAGAATTGTGGAAGATCTTTAAAGATCTCCATATCCTGAACCGACTTCTGCTGGGAAGGTGAAAAGTTTTCCAGAGTGCCTGCTAACTACCTCTGAGTGTTGTATTTCTGGCCAAAAAGCTCTTTGGAGCATCTTGCTCCTGTAGCAGACTGTGATGCAGCATGCTGCTTCTAGTAGAACTGTGCAGGCTTGCTCAGTATTTCTTTCTCAAGACTGTCTACTCTTAATTGGCATCCTAGTGTGCGCACTTAGAGTTCATGCCTCAGGCAGGAGAATGTGGTTTTGATACTTTGAGTCTGCAGGCTCTGCTCTTCTCCTGGTACTTGTTAAAAGCAGCTCACCGTGGTGTCAGGAGGAGTGGTGAGGCGAGAACACATGAGATTGGAGGCAGCAGAAACAGGACTGCTTGAGTTAGCAACAGCTGTCCGAAACAGAGTGAGAAAATGATATGCTGGCTCTTGGAAGTTGCCATTCTCACAGGTTGAGTGTTTGTGGGCCTTTGGAGTGGTTCCAGAAGGTGACAGGAAAATGTTCTTAGCAAGTGCTGAGTAAATGTATGCTGGAAAGGGGTTTTCCGAACAAGTAAAGTAACAACTTGGCATTCCCAACTGAAGTTTACTGCTGTTGTGGCTATGGCAAAAATTAAATTTTTGAAGACAGTCCTGGCAAAATAAAAATGTCAGCACGTGTTTGGCTGTTAAACTTCTGTTGATGGTACTTCGAAAGGAGTAGAAAGCTAGTGCTCACTGGAAGTGGTGTATATGACAAGTACCTGAGAATCTTGATGTGCTGTTAAATTAATCTCGTCCTTGTTGGCTTTGGGTATTTTACCTTAATGTGGAGTACAGAGTCCTGTTGAGCTAGCCGTGTCACTTCATCGCTTCATACTCCTGCTGTGCGAGATATCAGACATGAGCTGGTGAGCGTCCACTTATCGTGCATGTGATTTTTGCACTTGACATTATATGGCTGTCTCCTGGGCTTTCAAGGGAACGAATATGCTTCCAAAAAAAGCTATTTGCTTACAAACTCACAGCATAACTATAGTTTTAATAAGCTTCCATCATTAAAAGATGTTTCCTCTTCTGGTTTTGGAAATGATTTTCTGTATGTAACTGATTATAAAAACTTAAGGTAAGTGTCCAGAGGGATATGTACTTTCTATTAGTCATGTCTGTCTAGGAGAAGAGAACTTGTGCCTTTTGCAGAAATGTTTTTGCTTCTTGTTTGAACGCTGTAGTTCCTTTTGCACATCAAAAGTTCCAGTAGTTTGCAGTGTACTTGGCAGCAAACTAACTTGGAGATTATACCCTTTCTGATAAGGAAAGAACTTCAACATCTGATCTGAGAAGTGCCAGTGTATGTATCGGATGGCTGAAGGAGTCTCTAACAAGCTGTAGAAACTTTCCGGAAGTCTCCTGTGATAGGAGGTTTTTTTAAATTCAGTTAGCACCTTGTACTGGATTAATGGGACTGACTAAAGAGAATTAGACAGCACTTAAGACGGTCACAAGTGACTGTAATTACATTAAGGTGAAATCTGGTGTTCAGTAGAAAGTTTATCATCATGAGTTCTTCGCAGTACTCCAGCAGTCTGCTTGAAGCACGGGCTGCTGTGAATGAAGCACTGGGGGCTGTGTGAATGGTGGCCGTGGCTGCCATTGTTCCCAGCTTGCTGAGTAAGCAGGCAGCAGCATACATGAGCTGCAGAGGCTTTGAGCTTAAGGCTTTGTATTTAACTGCTTTGTTCTCATGTGCTTGTGGGTTGGTGAAGGCAGCAGAGAATCTGAGGTTGCATGGAAACTACAAGCTGCCAGAGTTCTTGGAGATTATTATAAGCATGGATGTGCAGAGGGTCACAAGTGGGTTTTGTGTTTCTGATAAAATCTTGCATCAAAGGTTTTTTAAAAAGCAATGCTAAGTTGCCACAGCATTGGTGAAAAGCATCTCCTGTAATAAAAAGCTAGATAAAAAACAGCAGGTGAAAGGCAGGATTTAGTAATTGCTGTTGGGGCAGTGGGAAGTGGTGCTGAGATTAGTTTTATTGGGTGCCTTCATCCATGACCTGGAAGAGGTAATGAACAGTTAAGTCTTCGATTTTGCTGGCAATGGCTAAGTTTTGTCAAGTGGTCAAAAGTGCTGATGGTGAGAAAATAGAGTATCTAAAGTGCTTCCTGTGAGTAATTCCTTCTGTGTCCTGTCTTGTGGTTGTTGAGAACTACTTAAAACAGATGGAACTGGCACGTGCTTTCCAGGGAATGTAAATTTGAGCCTGCCTGTATGTGGATTTGCATTCCCTGGTCTGCTCTATGCGAAGTCCCAGAGGTGTCAGATATTCTCTCCTCTAACAGAATTGGGAATGTGGTGTGAATCTTAACTCCTGCTTGTAAGTACTGATGCTTCTGTGACTCCATTTCCAGCACTTGCTCAGATTTGAGTTAAAATTATTAGGGTGGTCACACACTATGTACAAGAGTTGATTGTAGCTGCTTGTCAGTTAAAAAATAAAAAAAATTGAATCACTGGGGTCCCCTAATAGCATCTAAGAGAATGCAACTCTTAAATGCCTGAAACTCAACTGAAGGCATCAGGGTTCTGAAAAATATTTCAGGCAGCTGGAAGTCTGTCTTGCCAACAGATGACAGCAGCTCTGTGTGACTGTAAGGCTGGAGAAAACTCAAAGGAGTTGATCTTCTGCCTAAGCCAGAGAAACCCTCTGGCTTTTATCATCCACATCAAACACCTTAAAAAAGCTTCTTTTTTTCTAGAAAACACTGAGGCTGATGTAGAGGCTGCTCCAGGTCAGAATGAAGAAAAATCCCTGCCTGCTGCACCTGTTCCTAGCCCAGTAGCACCCGCACCTGCACCATCCAGGAGAAATCCACCCGGTGGCAAGTCCAGCTTAGTCCTCGGTTAAACCTTTCCTTTCCTGACTTGAACTTGTGTCTGTTTTTGCCCACCCTTCCCCCCCATGCTTGTGAACTGCACAACTTGAGCCTGACTGTACATCTCGAATTTCTTTCAATTAAAAAGAAGCACTTTATGTACTCTTTTTTTTTTTTTTTTTTTTTTCAGATCAAGGTTTTTTTTCCACTTTTGTCCTGTGTTTTTCCCCTAGATCTGCTGGAAGTTACATGAGTGTTTTCTAGTGATAGACTTGAGGGAAAGCTTTATGAAGTATAGTAATGTAATTCAAAGGAAAGTAGATAGGTTCTGAGTGTGCTTTAGAGGGTTTTTGTACTGAGATTTTTAGAACCCCTTAGCTACACAAGGGTCTAAAGTCCTGGTTAAAGCGGCCAGCAAATGATCAGCAAGAGTGGTCCCTTCTTCCACATGTGAACTTCGGGGATCTAAAAGAATTCATTGTCTGTGTAGGGTGAATGCCTTGAGCCCTGCTGTGCCATTTAAAGTGGTTAGGGTACACCATGCTGCCTTTAAAAAAAACATTGGTACTGGACTAGTGTAAAGCAGGGTATGTGCCAAATAGAGGGCTGATGATCAGAGTCACCTGGCCTGAGGGTAGGAGGGGCTTTGTTTGGACTTTATTCAGCAAAGGTGGAGTGGATTATAGAAATAAATAAAAACTTACAGGGCTTTTTTTTTTTTTTTTTTTTTTAAATACAACTGACTCAATGCTGTGCATGATCATGCTGGTGCTTGACCATGAGGTGAAAATCTCATTCTTTAAAGTGTGTGTTGTAATTTCATGAAGCTGGACTGTTGCTTAAAGTAAATAATATAGAAATTTTGAAGCAATGTTTCCTGCGTGGATTTTATTTTGTGGGTTTGGTTCTGCATTGTTCTCAGTTGTCCTGCCCTAATCTGAACAGGGCTGGGATGGAGCAGAAGAGGAGAGTGCATACACCTGACTGGGGGTATCATCACATGCTGTCTCCATGTTAAAAGTCAAACATCAATTTTCTCAAAGAAGCATGCAGTGTGGCTTGGTACATGTGATATGTTTTACCAGAATAGAGGAAATGAAAGTTTCTCCTCAAAACCAAATTAGATTCTGTGGCAGAACTGCTAAGTCAGGGCCTGAACAGCCTGACAGAGGTGACCGAACGCCTGGTGGGAAGGCAGGGCCGGCCGGGAGCTCAGTGTGTGCAGCACAGCCGCTGCGTGTCTGCCAGCCTGCCTTCCCACTCCTGAAAAGCTCTGAAAATACCCCAACTTCCCGGTGAGGCGTGGAGAACCCCCTCCTTCACATGCTGACTATCAAACTGGCTTTGCTCTAATGGCCTTTCTTTGCACAGCAGGTAGGGAATGTGGTCTGGGTTCATGTAAACCATGCCTACCCGTTTCCTGGCCTAGGAGGGGGGAAGTAAGTAGCGAAGTTGTATTTCCTTTGCGAGCCCCATGAGCAGCAGACGTGGCTACATCTTCTTCACTTGCAAGGAGATGAGTTTGGGCACACCAGGCTGTCTGCTAAAAAGGTGCCCAGTGTGCACAGAGGAGCTGCTCGCTCACAGCAGAGCTGTCACACCCCAGTTGGCTTTTGTGTTTTTAAGCTCTCTCTGGTGTGTTTCAAGCTGCAGTGAAGGGGGAGGAAGCAAAACTCTGAAACTCACAGGCATGCAGCGTTGTCTTTCAGGAAGCACTGTGCTAAAGGACCAAACTGATTTATGTTTTTAGGCAGTTAGCCACCCTGACTTTTGAGTTACCTTTCGCATGATTGGCTGATAATGAAAGGAGAGCAAAGTGGCTTCAACTTCTGGCCCACATGCATTAGTAAGAGCAGGCAGAGGCTGGGCTGCAAGTGTTGTAGAGAAGTATTTACAAGCTTACAGATAACTGTTTACACAATAGTTAAGTTAATGTTTTACTAAGATAAGGCTTTTCTTGTGAACCTGAATGCCATAAACCCTTTTTCTACCTGCACGTTTCTCACCTGTGGTAATGAGAGAAATACAGCTTTCTACTTCCTGACTTAAAGGATAGCTATCACCTGTTCTATGGCATGACGATAAGACAGTATATTTAGTACCAAATATGTAATAGGATTGCAAAGTACCAGGCAGGGAAACACCTTTCTTCTGCAGGAAGGATGAAGTTTGGGTCATTTCAAAGTCATTTGAGTTGGCTGTGGAAAGTTCACAGAATCACAGAATTGTAGGGGTTGGAAGGGACCTCCAGAGCTCATCGAGTCCAACCCCCTGCCAAAGCAGTTCCCTACAGCAGGTCACACAGGTAGGCGTCCAGGCAGGTCTTGAACATCTCCAGAGCAGGAGACTCCACCACCTCCCTGGGCAGCCTGTTCCAGTGCTCTGTCACCTCACTGTAAAGAAGTTCTTGCGCACATTGGTGCAGAACTTCTATGCTGCAGTTTCCAGCCGTTTCCCCTTGTCCTGTCTCCACTCACCACTGAAAAGAGTCCGGCCTCGCCATTCTGCCCCCCACACCTTAGATATTTATAGACCTGGATCAGGTCCCCTCTCAGTCTCCTTTTCTCAAGGCTGAACAGACCCAGATCACTCAGCCTTTCCTCATAGGAGAGATGCTCCAGGCCCTTCACCATCTTCGTGGCCCTCCGCTGGACTCTTTCCAAGAGATCCCTGTCTGTTTTGTACTGGGGAGCCCAGAACTGGACGCAGTGCTCCAGATGAGGCCTCACCAGGGCAGAGCAGAGGGGGAGGATCACCTCCCTCGACCTGCTGGCCACGCTCTTTGCAATGCACCCCAGGATGCCATTGGCCCTCTTGGCCACAAGGGCACACTGCTGGCTCATGGCCGACCTGTCGTCCACCAGGACACCCAGGTCCCTCTCCGCAGAGCTCCCCTCCAGCAGGTCATCCCCCAACCTGTACTGGTGCATGGAATTATTCCTCCCCAGATGCAAGACTCTACACTTGCTTTTGTTAAACCTCATCCGGTTTTTTTCTGCCCAGCTCTCCAGCCTGTCCAGGTCTTGCTGAATGGCAGCACAGCCTTCAGGCGTGTCAGCCAATCCTCCCAACTTCGTATCATCAGCAAACTTGCTGAGGGTGGCCACCATCCCCTCATCAAGGTCATTGATGAAGATGTTGAACAAGAGCGGACCCAGCACAGACCCCTGAGGAACACCGCTGGTTACAGGTCTCCAGCCGGACTCTGCACCACCAACGACGACCCTCTGTGCTCTGCCAGTCAGCCAGTTTTCAACCCACCTCACTGTCCACTCATCTATCCCACACTTCCTCAGCTTTGTTATAAGGATGTCGTGGGGGACAGTATCAAATGCCTTGCTGGAATCAAGGCAGACTACATCCACTGCTCTCCCCCCATCTACCCAGCCAGAGACAACATCATAGAAGGCTACCAGGTTGTGGCAAAATCAGCAAAAAGTTGTGGAAGTGATAGAAGCTGAACAATGACCCAAGCAGAAAAAGTAACTGTTAGAAAGGGTTAGACTTGCAAGCTGGTGCTGAGCTGCACTCAGCAACCTGCTGTCCAACAGCCATGGCCTTTTTTATTTAAAAATATTTGCTTCCAGTTTCAGCTGCGTTCTTGGCTTGCTACAGTGCTCTACTGTCCTTTTCAATAGTAACTAAAATTCAATGCTAGTCTGATTTCCTTCCTTTATTGTTCTCATCACACTCTTGACCTACTGAGCATTAGCGGGAGACCTGAGAAAACAGGGAGGTGCCCGTTTCAACAGCTTCAAGCTGCTCTGACAGCTTCAGTCCTTAGGGAGAGGAATCCCTACTGCTGTGTGTTTGCTTAAGTTCTTGGCCTCTTCCACCTGCAGAGGTGTGCAGTAATCCTCCAGGAAGACCGTTGCCAGATTGCTCAGCCTTCTGCTGGCCGAGAGAGAGAAGCGAAGCATGCACTCCACCACTGGGAGAGGTGTGGTCTGCTGGCATGACTGCGGTGTTGTCAGATACATCAGGGTTGTGACTGCTGACATGACTGTCTCTTCATTGGAGCTGGAGAGGCAATTTATTATGGGCTCTACTCCACTGGCCTCCAGGATATAGTCTTTGTTAGTCTTATCCAGGCACAGGTTGCAAAGACCACCTGAAATAGCGAAAAAAGCATCTGATACATGCAAAACAAATTCTTTCTGCACCCTCATCCAGACACACTCCACACTCTTAAAGGCACCTTATTTGGGAATAAATGGCAACAGTCTGAGTGCTTTTCATATCTTTGTATGCACTTTGGTCCTAACCTGTGAGATGCTTTCCCTGAGTTGTCCTCAGATAGCTGCGTGATCCTTCCTTCTTTTCATAAGACAACACACAAAAATATTTTTCCTGAATGGTAAGAGGAAAATCAGTCTTCAAGATACCAAGAACTATACAATAGATTTTTAATTGTCCTATGTAACCTTTTTTTTTCCAACTCAGTGCAGTAACGGCAATTATTTCCTTAAATGCAACTGCATAAATATCCCCTTTTTCTAAAGCGCAGATTGATATTTTGCAATTCCTGTTTTCTAGCACAGACACAAGCTCCCAGGTTTTGTGAGAACTGGAAAACTTTAAAGCTCTTCAAGAAATCTTCTCTTGATTCTTCCCCGAGATCTGCCAACAGGGCTCCTGCACGTCCTTAGAGGGCACTGCACGGCTGCACACGACGCGTGCTGCAGAACCAAACACCCGCGTCACAGCACCAAAGGGGCTGTAAGGCACCTTTTTTTTATTTTTTATTTTTCCCCAGTTTACTACAGACGTTTTAGAGAAACAGAAAAAGGCATATGGATGCACTAAGGATGCTGTCCTTACCCATAGCAAATTCCACGAGGGTCTCGTTGTCTTCCGTCAGCATGTCGAGGAACAGGTCCAGCACCTGGAGCTGCCGCAGATACTCGTAGTTCCTGGGGTCGTAGGCGAAGTTGGCCAGGTTGGCCAGCACCTGCTGCTTGGCCTCTGCAAGGGAAAAGCGCGTGAAACGAGGGGCGGCGGCACCCAGCGCCGGTGCACAGAGATCTTTGCTGGATGGAGATTTCGCTTTTATACGCGGGGTTACCTGGGCTGTCTGTCACCTGGAACTCGGTGACGAGGGCCTGCAGATACTCCAGCCTCCCCAGCTCCATCCTGAGTTCTGAGAACTAGAACCTGGCGGTCAGCCGCAATCAGCCCGCGCCGCCGGCGAGGAAGACACCGAGGCTGTCCGGCAACTCGCGGCCGCCATTTTGTGGGCGTTACTCTCAAGCGGCCGCCGGCGCCATTTTGTGGGTGTTGCGGCTCCTCCCGTCGGTCGGGCTGCGGCGTGGGAGGCCGGGACCGTTCCCGTGCGGGGTGGAGGGCGGCTGCCGGGGCTGCCCTGCGCATTGCTCGTTAGTGCCAGAGTGGACGCTTTCGGCAATCGCGTATTTTTTAACGTTTCCCCTTTGTTCTGCAAAGATGCTCACCTGGTTGTTTGCACCCAGGCTCGGACAGTTGCGCACCTGGGAGCTCCTCGTGCCCGTGGACTCAGAAGCGCAGGCGCACAAGTGCTGCGGACAGCGGGGAAGAGCGGTGCTGCCGGGTTTTGGTGGGGATTGGGACTCCCGGCTGGGGAAGAGCAGTGCAAGGAGGTTTTTTTATGGAGTGGATAGGCAACAGTGAAGCCAAGAAAAGGAAGATATTAACAAGAGGCAGCAGATATTTCCAGCCTGTTTGCACAACGGGCTGATCTGAGGACAAAGCAGTGCCGTTGCTCTGAAGGGCAGCTCCCATGGAGCTGCTGCTTCTGAGCACCGAGAGCAGCGTCAGATGTGTTGGTGTGCAGGGAATGCAGTGAGATAGTAAGCTGAAGAATACAAGATGTAAGGGGTCCATAACATCTCTTAGTTTTGCAAACTCAAAAGGAATTTGCAAATGGCATCGCTTAGTTTAACCTCTTGCTAACTCAAGATGAATTTATTGCTTAGTTTAACCTTTTGCTGGGCCAAGCACATTCTCAAAAGGGAGCCTTCTCAAGTCAGTAGAAAGGTGCTCCCAGGAAGGCAGTGGAAAGGGAAGATAAGCAGGATAAGAAATTGCTGAGGCATGCAGGGCGGGAGAAGAGCTCAGAACTGGGACAGAGGTCAGAAGGACATGGCATGGAAGACATCTGACCATCCCAGAACAAACGCCAGGTGGGGAGGAAGATGCAGAGCCTTCATCCAATGGAAGCTACTGCGCATGCCCTGGGTGGAGGACAATTCCCGGAAAAGTAATAAGTATGTCTTGGGTAATACTCTTGAATATGTATGGATTGGCTAATAAATGTATCGAGACCTCACTCTCTGGTGTGCAAGCTAGGAGGAGCGAGCCCCCTTGCACCCGGCTTGTGGCACAGTGCTGAAATAAAGACATACCTGCTCTGATAACCTTACATGGATTAGAGAGTTTGATTCCGCAAATCAACAGAAGCAGAGGTGCATGAACATCACATGTGGGTGGGCTTAGTAGAGATTGCCATTTCTTTTGTTGAAGCAATTAAATAGAATCATGGAACCGTAGAATCACTGAGGTTTGAAAAGGCTTCCAGCCAGCTCTTCACCCTTAGCAAAGTATGTACCTGTCTAACTGAATACAGATTCTTCTATAGATGAGGTTGGAAACAGTGCACTGATTTTACAGTGTCCTGCACTGACTGAAGGGCCCCTGATTTTCATTCAAAGGAAGCTGGACGTGGTCTCATCCACCAAATGCAGGGCATCAGGGACAGGAACGCTGGGCTGGTAGTAGCTCCTACCACACAGTGAGCTGTTTGCTCGTGTCCACCTTAAACAGAAGGGTGAGGAAAGAAGCTGCACTGAATGCAGCAGTGCTCTCAATGTTGCAGTACTGTGGGGAGACAGGGCAGGTTAAAGTCAAGGTATTTATTTCTACCTGGTATAAAAGTTCGGCCAAGCCTGTGCTAGCAACTTCAACTGTTAAAAAAATTACAGTGAATGTGTATATGTATATAAACGTATGTGTATATGCATAAAAAGAAGTAACAAAGATTCTACAAATTACTTCAGTTTAAAATGTTACCATATTAGCAGATTTAATGTAGGCCTTTGTAAATTTAAGTGTTAGTGTACTTTAAGCCACATCTGTCATTACTAATATGTACTAGGGTGTGACTGTAAGACAGGTAGAGAAGAGAAAGCAAATGCAGACCAAGCAAACCAGCAGAAGGTGTTTGAGGATGGTGGGATTGACTAATAAGGGGTGAAAAACATTGCATTTGAAGAGGAAACATGCAATGATGAGTTCACAGGTACTGTATTTGTAGTCAAGTTTTGCAAGCACAAAACCAGTAGGAACTTTGTCTCCTGCAGTGATTTCACTGTGAGCAGTGTTTAGAAACAGCCCATGCCCATGGTGATTGGGTGATGCATCCCTGAAAACTGTACTCTGCAGGTCATGTATTCAGCATGTGGCAAGAGGCAGCCTGGAGGAGAGGAGCACTGGTACTCACCTTTCTGGGAGCTGCTTGGTCTGTTCCTTCTAGATTTTATCTTGTTTTGAGTTTAATCCAAGCTGGTTAAGAGATGGGAGGAACATTTTGCATTTAATTTAAGCTGTCTCATAGAGAAGAGTTTGGTAACATTCCCCAGGTTTATGGTCCACAGAGAATTTTTGTAAGAGCTGGAGGCTGTGCTAATGCTGCTTACATGACCTGTGCAAGCATCTGACTGTTATGTGCTGCATTACTGCAGGAAGTTTGTCCTGGTCGTACAGAAAGATCACTTGGCAGCAGGCAGTGTTGGCTGAGGCATGCAGCCCTCTTGCTCAGGCTGTTTGCTCGGGTGATATGGGCCGTATTTAATCATCTCACTGCTCTGTCCATGTTGCACAGACAAGTTAAGCATAGCTGTGGTATTTACAGCTTCAGGGGTAGCCTAATGACAGCGGTGCCAACTGATAGCTCAACAAAGTTAGAATTTGGTCAATTTCAGGTTCTGGTAGGTATGTTTCTTTTCTTGCAGTTACTAACCAGGTCTGCAAACTATGCCAGGCTCTTCATTTGAGTGATTTTGCAGTTCTGAGGTGTTTTAGAGTATCTGAGATGACAGTAACTTTTTTTTTTTTCAAATCAAACTTTTCCAAGATTTACACTGGCAGACTATCTAAGTCTTATAGGGTTCATGGTCTTGCAATATTTCAAATGAACTTCCTGGTGAATGTTTCATAGCAGTAAGGAAAGGCACTTGTTGCAAAATACGTTTCGCTTCGAAGTTAATGATACAGTTAATGACAGAGGGAGCAGGAAAGAGTATGAAGGGACTGGGTGAGGGTTATTTATCTCCTGCCATTTTTTCTTGTTCTGCTGACTCTGAGAGGTTTGTAACCTGGCTGAAGCATTAGTGTTTGTCCAGGGTTATTTTACTGTCTGTAGATGTTAAAAACAGCTCCTTCAAAGGGTGGTGGTAATTAAGCTGTGCTTGCTTTGTGTATTGGGACAACCATAAACCAATAGCAAGAACTTTTATTATTTTATTTTTCTTCTGGGCCTCAAGGTTCTTAAAGGCTGAGTATTGATGTACTGAGGGGCAATATTTATTATCCTGTAGCATGCTCAGTATGCCCAGTGCTTTCAGTTACACATTACAGAGCTCCCGCCCAAGGCAGCTGGGAGTTCAGGCTGGGAAGAGAGGTAGAGAGAGGAGGAGAGGCATCAAACAGAAAGGGAGGGAGCTAGTTTTCTCTATTATGGCAGTTCAGTCACATTATTCACCTGTGGAAACACAGCTTAAGTGTTATCTGTTCTCCATCTGAGATTTGTTTCTAACCTGTGCATTCTAAAGGTATGTGTAAGCAGCCAGGGGAGATAACCCTCTTTTCAGGCAGCTTAAGTTGTGTAAGGCTGTTGGGAAGTTCTTAGTAAACAAGATGAAAAAAGTGAAAAGGATGGATTTGTATACTGTTTGTCTTCCCAGAAACCTCAGCTTCTGCATAAGACTCCAGTGACTCTAGCACTGAGTCTGAGAGTATCAAAGATCAGCTCTATAAAGCACTCGTAACTCCGTGTCCTAAGTTATATTACAGTGCTGTGTACAGCTAGGAGATAATTAAAACTGAGAATTCTTTGCCATAGCGTAGGAGGAGCTGACCTCTGTGTGTCAGCTCAGTTGGTGAGTTCCTGTTATTCCCCCTGTGCCTTGCAAATAGATACTTGTTTGTTTGCTTCTGGGCAAGCTGGGGCTAAAGCATTGCAGGCAGTGCTGCGGCTGGTGCTGGAGATTCCGTTACTCCCTCAGTTAAACTTTGTTTCCTGGGATAAATTCTGGTGGGCAGTACCTGGCCGTATCTTGCCTGTTTTATCTGGAACATTTGTAGCAGCGGAAGGATCTGGGACAACGTAATGCCCCATTTCTGGAAGGAAATGGAAAGGGAATGAAAAGGAGTGAACAGAATTTCAAATTTAAGAATTACATAAAGGAAAAGTGTCAGTATGTTGAACTGCTTAGCTGTTTTATTTGTAATGACTAGAAGAGGTATGAGACTCAATCCCTCTGCATTGGTTTGTTTTGATGAAAGGAGGAAACCCCACCTTTTCCCTGGAAAAACAGCAAGTGGAAACTGTGGTTTTACTGCTAAGAATTTGATACAGTGGTTCTCAAGATTAAGTACTAAAATTGCTTTGGAACTGCTTTCGCTTGCAGAGTTGAAAGCTATTACTTCTTCCATTTCACTGACATGTTGCAGTTCCATCTTTTGGATGTTCTAGAATGTTGAGCAATCTTCAGCTGCAGTACTTTGTGAGATATCTGCTCAGAGCACGTGGGATAGGAAATACAGTTCGCAGCTCAACAGAGGGAGTTCAGAGGCTGATGCAACTCTCGTGTTATTGCTGACAAATGTAACTCCTAGGAGTGTGTTGGGAAAAGCCTCTCATAGCCAAGAGACTGCATGGATGTGAGAGTTAACACCAATGTTTCCTACTGTATTTTTTCCCCTCAGATTTCTTTTTAACTTATGGTTGAGCGAAATTGTCAATAATGAGATGATGTGAGTCTGAGACTAAAGAAGTGAATTCATTTCCACAAGGGAGAACTCCAGTGGTGTTGAATTTGCCCTATATACGGCTGTTTACCTTCATTATATGTTGCTCTCCTGTGTTGTTTCGCACCCCCCCCCCCCCACCCTAAAAAAATAGAATTGATCCCAGTTAATGCTGGAAAGAGATGTATTTGTAGAAGCCATTAATCTCTTTTTATGATACATCAGGAAGCACTTGAGATACTACTAATTATACAAAGCAGACACTGTAAGGTTTCAGTCCTTTTGTTTTTGTTGCTCTGGTGTGGAACTTCTGGAGCTTTGAAAATGTACTTGGCGTGAAGAACTCATATATACCTCATAGGAAAAAATATTTGATCTTTGTAGGTTCCTGCCTGAGTTGTGTGACTCATTTGGCAGCCCCCGCATTGTGTTTAGAGATGTGGAAAATAATAACACACTTCCAGTCAAAACTGTTTGTCTTCTTTCCCCTTCCTCAACCTTGGGAGGCTACCAGGAAAGTTCATATAAGTCTGCACCAAAACTGCATGTTCAGAGTAGGTGAGTAATACTTATGCAAGAACTACCATTGTGCATAGCCATCAGTAATTATTTACCAGTGCTAGTGAGAGAAGTATGCATATGAAATTCCAGTGACTTCAGAAAGGTACCAACTTAAATCAATTGAATCAACATTACTTTTATTTCTCAGAGCTGGTTGCCATGGATGTTGTTGTCCTGTGGCCTGCTTTAGGACAGCACAGTTCTGTCTGTCCTTTGGCTGGCACTGCCTGTTGGGCTCAGGTCTGCGTTGCTCGCGTGGAGTCTAACACAGCCCCACTGAACGGATGTGCAGGGAGGAAGGGTGACGGCTGTGGGATGCAGACACTTGTTTTCTCATCTGCCATCAGGGCTGGGTCTCGTGAGGCTTTGTACAGCAGCATAATTGTTATTTATTCTCATATGCTTGTGACGTGCACAACTGCTAGAGTGGGTTGACTTTCAGACTGTGATTCATTTGGCGTTTCACTGTATATGGCAGACTTCTCTGGAGGTACTTTTGAGGTGTCTTTCAATCTGTTATTTTTTTCCAGAGCATAGAAGCTGAGCGCCATGAATAATGAAGCTGATATCAGGAAGAAACTTGAGGTGTAGAAGACATAGCGGAAATCATGGGTTGCATCCACCAGGAGACCTGAAATGGAAACCACAGCTTAGTTAAAAAGAGGATACGTGGTAAAGGCAACTGTAATGACATTTATAGAAATGATAAATCTGACCAAGCCAGGAAAATGCCCTGTACAAAAGATAAGCATTCATAAATGAGTTAAGATCTGTTCTCCAGATTCTAGAGCTTGTTTGTAGTCATTTCTCAGGCGGTGTTTCTGTTTCTGTGAAAAGTATTTTCCAGTACACAGAGAAATCAGGAAAGAAAGGAAATTGTAACTTTTTCCCCATGTACTGATTGATTTTTTTACTCATCAGAGGACCTCTGCGTCACTGCCACTTTCTGGGTTTTGGAATGAGTGACCTTAGTACAACCCAGGTCAGAAATCAGAACAAATAAATAAGGAAATCTTTCCAAGACTGACATGTTTGAGTCTCTATACTGAAAACTTGTAATAGTGTGAGGAAAATTCACAGCACAGTGGGCATTATAACTAACTTTGAGAGCCTCAACGCAAAACATTTAGAAGAATTATATGTCAAGTGGGTATTTTAACACTAACACTGGAGAAGGAAAGGCAAAAGGTATTCAGGTAAAATGTATGATGCCTCCTCAACAGGTTGCTTATTTATATATGGAAATATCAGTGTAATTCTTCAATGTATTTTCTATCTCCAACAAGAAAGTGAGCTAATCTTGCTGTACTTTGTTTTCATAGAATGGTTTGGGTTGGAAGGGACCTTCAAGATCACCTAGTTCCAACTCCCTGCTGCAGGCAGCGACACCTCCCTCTACCAGGTTGCTCACAGCCCCATCCAGCCTGGCCTTGAATGCTTCCAGGGAGGGGGCATCCACAGCTTCACTGGGCAACCTGTTCCCGTGTCTCACCACACTCACAGTAAAGTATTTCTTCCTGATATCTAGTCTAAATCTACCCTACTCCAGTTTAAAACCATTTTCCCTCATCCTGTCACTATATGCACTTATAAAAAGTCCCTCCCCAGCTTTTCCGTAGGCCCTTCCGTGTTGGAAGGCTGCTATAAGGTCTCCTCAGAGCCTTATCTTCTCCAGGCTGAAGAGCCCCAGCTCTCAGTTTTGCCCATCTGCCACTCCTATCAGAGACATCCCAGACCTTTTCTGCACTTTGAGAAAAGCAACTAACACATTTTGCCTGGGAATGACATGACATACAGTGCATGTAGTCCCATTCATAGAACAGATAGTTGCTTTCCCATTGGATGAGATACAATTCAGTGCCTGGAGAAGAGGGCTAAAACCAGTAGAGGATTCACACTCGGGTTTGTATTTTGTCTGTCAGTCTTTTGAATTTGTTGCTATACTGCAGGAGCAGGTACTTAGCCAGGTTATTCAGTGGCTTTTGGAGTGAACTGTGAAATCTGTGAGTAATTTATTAGATTTGAGGGCATAACTAGTTTCCTTTCTTGCCTCTAGAGAAAAATGAATGCACTCCAGAACCAGGAATAACAGTAAGTAGAAGAGGCTTTTACTATTACTTTACTTTTACTCTTCAGTTACGTAGAGCTGGTAATACCTCTGATGACAGTAGATGTATGGATGTTTGGAATTTCTTGAGACTTCATAGATCAGTGCTAGGAAAGCAGTGAGAATTTTATGACAGCACGATCCTACTACTGTAATTCCTCTCTGTGCTCTGCCATTCAAAGGAAACAAGTTCTCATCACTGCATGCCTATCGAAGCTGCCTGCCAAATGTGCAGCTTTTTCACTGTCTGCTGTTGCTTCAGAGACACTTAGGCAGCTACAGAAATTATCCTTGTTTGGCTGTGAGAAGGGCATTCCTTTCTGAGTCTTCCTTTTGTATTGCTCCCTCTGCATAATCAGCTGCCTGCATGGATCTGGAAACTCATTCATTCCTCTTCAATGTGCTCCCAAATACTTATCATCAGCGTCTAAGAACCTTGTTTTTCTCCAATCTGCTTTAATAGGTTTTCTCACCTGTCAGAGGGGGTCCAATGAGAACAGTGATACTCTCCAGAATGGTGAAGAGCCCTAGAGCGCTTGAGAACCTGTCCATCTCCACCACATCCATCAGCACCTGGAATGTGAGGGCTCCAATGCCACTCATGGCTATACTGAAGATGACGCAGTAGAAGATGAGCATGCTGAATTCAGCTGAGATGACACAAATGAAATTGCCCAGCCCATACAGGAGCACGGCCAGGCTGTACAGGTAGATGCGTCTCCCTGTGAAGATTGTTTGTCCTGAGAGCAGCCCTGTCAGAGGGCGCATGAAGATGTTGATGAATCCAATAATGGAGATGAGGAGGGCTGCCCTGTGTTCCTCCAACCCATTCTGGATGGCATAAGGTACGAGGTAGACATGGGGTAACGCAAACCCCGTCATCATCCATGTCACTCCAATCGTGTAAATCTGGTACCTTTTGTTTTGACAGAAGATATCAAGAGCCAGGTAGTTCTGCAGCACCTGGAAACATGTGATCTTTCTGGTTTGTTCCTGGAGCTTTAGGTGAGAAGGTGCTCTGTTGGACAGCTGAGCGTCTTCTGCTCTTCTCCCTGGCTCCTCTCCTGTACTGGAAAACTGCAGTAGTGATCCCAGTGCAAACTTCACTGGTCTCATAATAGCTCCACAAACACAACAGTTCAACAGGATTCCTCCAAAGATAAGAAAAGTATCTCTCCAGCCCATCTCATCTAGCAGGTATTGAGAAAGAAGCGGCCACAGTGTGAAACCAATAGAGACACCGGTGGACGCCACGGCATTGGCCAGCGTTTGCCACCGCACAAAGTAGGATCCCAGTGCAGTCACTCCTGCCTGGAAGCTGAAGCATGACCCCAGACCTAAAGATAAGAATGAAAGAGAAAATAGCAGCACATGATCTCTCTGTAGTGTCTTACAAGATTAAAAGAGCCCAAAACTCTGGTGTACCCACAGATGACTTCATCACAGCCCCCAGTGATTAATGATCAGTAATCCCAAATGAGGGGTGAAGAAGGATGTTGTGTATACTTTAGATTCCCTGTGTTCTCAGGAGTACTGAATACACTGCTCTAAGCTGATGTTTGAGCCATGCTGCCATGCCCATGATTGTTCCAGAGTTGTTCTTGGGAAAAATGACAAGGACTTGGCTTTATACTGCATTCAGCAGGCAGAGTTGCTTTCCTGATGTTTTCACCAGGTTTCAGGGAGTTAATTATTGTTTATCTCTGTGCTGCACACAGACCTTAGCTTGCAAGAGTCAACAGGTTTGGTCCCAAAATGATCTGGCTTCACAAATCAATTTCTCTTTGTTAGAAAAATAGCATGGATTGAAAAACAATTACCTAGGAGAAATATTTGGAAAGGAAAAGTTCCCATCTGTTACTTCTGTTCAAAACCAACATAGTATTTGGTCAGAGAAAGATAACTCACATCTCCCCAGACTGGGAGTGGTGAAGTCCATGCCCAGGATATTTGTGAAGGATGTTATCCCAACATTGCACTTTGAGGTGGGAAAAAGTCCCCTCTTCAAAGGCAAAAGGTTGTGAAGCTCCTAAGGAGAACAGACATTTTTGCTCTCTCTGTCACCCTTAGAGACCTGTAGCCTTTTCCAGGGAGAAGTACTTTGAATGAGCTGACTGGGTGAGATGTGTGTTAAAGGGGTGTGAAGGGCAAGCCTATCCAGCATGCAATTCCCAATGAGCTGTGGGGCTTTGATTTATTCTATTTCACAGCTAAGTGAAAAGCACGAGTGCTCAGTCCAGACTTCTACCACTTCCCAGCACAGCAGCTGGATTTCGCTGCTGTTCCTTGTACTTACCAGCGATGAGGCCAGCTGTTAGGTAAAGCTGGCTGAGGGACTTGCAGAAGGAGCTGGACACCATGCCCACGCTGCTGAGCAGCCCTCCCACCATGACAGCAAACCTGCAGCCAAAGCGCTTCACAAGGATGCTGCACAGAGGCCCTGGGAGAAGAGAAATAAAATAAAAAGGAAGCAGTGAGGGAGAACAGAATTGTTCTGTGGGTGCCAGAATGCTGCAGTTATCAAACGATTTAGGTTAGAGAGCCTGCAGATTGTCCCAGCAGCAAAATTTAAGGAAGGAAACAGAAGTAGAAAATGCACTCCCTGATCCTCCGAAGAGCTTGGTCAGCTTGTCAGCAGAAGGGAGTGCACCTGTGATCTGCTTGTGTTTTGGCCATGAAATAGGATTCCTAAGCTTCCCTGTGATTGATAGTAGCTAATAATCCTGGAAATGGAAGTGTAATTCTGTTCTCATGTTGTATCAGTTCTACAAACAATTTGGAAAAGGATAGGACTTGAATTTCCATGTCCCTGAGTAAGAGATACTGAACAAAGTGTTATTTCTGCTTGCATATTTCTACTACTCTTTCACTGTGTTTTTCAAATATTCAGCTACAAAAGATTCTAAATTGTCCTTGGTGTCTTCTGCATAGGTGAAATTCTCTGCAGGAGGGCAGGTTGACTCTGGAACAGATCGAGAACAGGAGAAAAACAGGGATTGTCCTTGAGGGGGATAATTTGAAAATGTCTATGGAGGTGTATGCATGTTTGCATTGGAATCAGTCTAAGCTTCAGGCTGTGGCATCCATGCTCCAGCTTATGGAGCTGACCTGAAAGTTGTCTCCATGAAAACAGTACAACGCTGTTGTCAGTTCAGCTCTTTCCAGATGTCTGTTTTAGCATACCTGGCCAGCGTGGGTAGCCATGAGGACCCAAGCCTCTTTGCAGGCTGTGCACATCCCTGCTCTTTCTCCAACACCACAAGACCTGGGTCTTCCTGGTGGAGCAGAAATGTGGGCATTGTGCTCGTGTTGCTTGCAGGCTTTTCTAAGTAGGAGTTATGCTATTTCATCAGCAAAACCAATCGACAAATAGACATGGAGGCGTGTGAGTAAAGTTAGTTGATTCATTAATTTTCACAGGCTGTTTGTTGGTGAGTTCTGTGAGTGGGGTAAATTACAAGGTTGCTAATGCCATAGATTTTGGGAGAGGATGATGTTAGTTCAGACCTGCAGGCTGCCAATGGAAAACATTTCTCTCTGCATGTTCTGATAGAGGAGGCTTTAATGGCAGCTTCATTTTGTGTTTCTGCCAGGATCTGCATTATTTTCAAGGCTTACTAATTTTTTTCCTCTTCTTAACACTTAAAATTATGTAAGTAAATTCAAAAAGTCTGCAAGCTTCAGAGTTAGGAATCAGCATGGGGAAAATAACCTGTGGAAAAGTTTTGGTTTGAAATAAAATCTGCATAATCAAGCAAGCAGCTGAACATTCTTAACATTAGGACTGTAACTGTGTGCATTTTGATCTGCTTGGGAGATTTTCACCTTGGACTTCAACTGGCCTTTGAAGAAGTATTCATCGGGCTCAGCAAACTAGTGACTGCATTCTGTTCCAGCAAAACTGCTGCATTTGAACTTGCGTGAGTCTGGAGAGTTGCAGTGGCCTTACAAATTCTGTTAGTGCTTGTGATCACCATGAGGCTATTCTTTTCTTGTGTAATGAATCCCTTTTGGATCTATATTGGCTGTCTTTACATTAACTTTCACTGTGGTCCCAGCCTCCCACAAAACAATTACTTCATTATTGAAGATAGAATTGATATGTCCTCACAGAGGCTGCCAGACTTGTCTTCCTAGGCGTGCTGGGACCGAGCTGCTTTTTGGACCATTCCCAGAGCCACTGGCTCCTGTTCTTTTCCTGGTTCCTACAGCAACCAGACCATAGGTCATGCCCAGCAGCTTCTCAAGTCAAACAGCCATGGCACCGCTCTGTTTCTGTTGAACTTCAGTGTCGATTCCTTCTGTAGCTGCTTTGCCTGAGGTCTTTCCCTCTGTGCCTTGCAACTCTGGGACTACCTGCTTCCACTAAGGTGCAAACTCTTTTTCCCCCGTGTCCAGCTCTCAGCCAAGTATTGCACAGTGAAACTTAACGTGCTGCAGCCATCACGTCAGTGTGACTCAGGGCTCTGCTTTTTTTTCCCCTCATACTGCTGCGTCACCTTTCAGCAATATTGGAAGAGGGCAGGTGTGAACTAAGGGAGCAGCTCAGGTATACGGGAGTCATTATACACTTTGCTGGATGGAGTTCAGATGGACTGTATATCACACAAGCATGGTGGGTGTATGAGGAGGGGCCAGCAGCAACATGAACCATTTACTGAGAAGCTCTCAAGCTGCTAGGTGTGTTTTACTCTCCTATGCAGGAATAGGAGCTCTAGATGCCCTCCCCTGTGCAACTCCCACATTTTCTGTAGGGAAGAAATAGTGCTTAGTGCTCCTGGGTGATTCACTCCTTGTCCGCAAAGCAGCACCCTCCATCCACCCCCTTCAGCTGCAGGGTGCTACCTGGCTCAAGTTCTGCATTAAACCAGTTGTGCGATACCTGCTGCTGCACGCTGTGCCACTGCCCAAGGAGCTACTTTCAGCCCTGAGCCTCAGCTGGTAGCCTGGGGGAGCAGAGCTGGCATGTGGAAGGGCGTGAAGAAAGTACCCAAGATCCAGCCCTACTTGCCAGCTTATTTAAAAATAACTGTGAAAAATAATTAAGTTCTCATTGTTCTGAAGAAGCTGGGCTGAGAAAGAGATTCACCTTCCTCATTTTACTTATCCGTTAGAGTGGTGGATGGGAACTTGGTATCTGCAGACACTTGGTGCTGGGCTCTGTGGGCATGGAAATCGCTGGGAGGTGCCTTTCACTGCTGAGCAACCTGCCCCAGACCTCCCTGTCCCTTCCTCCTCAGAGAAATGCTGAGTACCCTCCTAAAGCCCTGTGTCCATGCTGGAGCCACAGGAAGCAGCAGAGGGCATCCCTACAGCCTCTACTTACCGCCTGCGTGCAGCACAGCAACCATGATGGAGGGGAACCACGATGTCTCACTGTTGGTGGCCTGGAACTCATGCTGGAGGTCAGTGAAGAAGATGCCGATGCAGGAGGGGAAGCCCAGCGTCAGCCCCTGCAGCACCACTGAGGCCACCAGGACCATCCATGCCCATCCCCGGTCCTGGACTTTGGCAGTTCCTCGTGCTGCTGCTCCTCCTTGGGCCATGGCTTCTTTCTACTCGCAGGCAGCCTGCTGGGGAAGGGAGTGCAGCTACCATGCAGCCCTCAGTCCAGGAAACGGACCTACGGAGACAAGGGCTGTGGGTATTCCCTGGGCTCAGAGGCACCAGCGTGTCCCAGGCCCTTGGCAGTGCACACTCTGGACTTCTTGCACTGCATTTCTTCCAGGACTCCCCTTCTCTCTACAGGATCCTGGAAGATTGCTCGAGAAATGACTGCCTTCCCCTTTTATATTGCACAAGACAGTGAGCGCAGCCAGGTACAGGACAGGACCACACCTCCTTTGAGGTATGAACTGGCCTTACCCAGTTCCACCCTTATTTTCCCTTTCACCTGCTTTCATCATACAGAGTCCCCTTGCTGGCAATTGCTAAGGTCACCAAGTCCTCACACTGAGAGGAGTGACCAAAAAACTCTGCAAATGCCAAGAAAAATAGAAACATGTAAGGCTTGTATGTGGCAGCATACTGTTGCACTGCGCATACAGTTCAAATCACTAGTGTTGAAAAAACATTTTAGAAGTCACTGATTAATTAGGATCCAGTGATCTCAGATATACTTCTGCTATATCTCTGTCTAGGTCTGAAGATGAGAGATCCCAAGTTTGCTTGCTGTGAGATCAGCAGCATGAAACAACAAGAGTATTTCACATGAATAAAGGCACAAAACAAATCTTTGGCAGCTGGACAAGCTCAAGAAAAGCACTGTAAGGTTTGCACCGCACAGTATTTATTTAGCACTAGACTAATGTCCCTCCCCTACAACAATAGCTACAACTGAGTGTTGTGTGCAGCTTTAAGAATGAATAATAACTCATTCTAGCTCATTATTTCAAGCTTGCCATGGCAACACGCTCAGAATCAGTTCCATACCTGGGGCTGGACCAGGCCTGGCGACGTGAGGGGCTGAAGCGCAGTGCGGGTGGCTCATCGTGGCGTGCTGGGTGCTTCTGCTTCAGCAGTGCCCAAAAGCTCTGATGAACTCTTTTGCAACGTTACCCTCAGCATCATTCTGTAAACAGGGCTGCTGTGCCGGCTGGCTTGCAGCCAGGGAAAAAAGGGCTGCAAGCAGAGGGGGCCCGTGGGAAGGGGCTCTCACATGCAAATCATGGTGGGGGTGCTCAGCACGCTTTAATCCTTTGTCCACTTTAGCTGGGTGCAGATAATGCAACTAATTCAAGTGCTTGTCTCTCTGGTTTGAATTTGCTGGATGACAGCCTAAAACCTCTCCCCAGCAACAGCAAACCCCCCAAAAAAGGCAGAAGCACAGCTCCTCTCTGTTCCCAGCCGCCCTGTCCAACATCTGAGTGTGTCCAGCAGCAGATTTCTGCAGCTCAGGCTCACTGGGGAGAGTAGAGCTGGGGGTCACACACTTGCCATGGCTTTTGCCTGCCGCTGGCCGCAGGGCAGTGTATCCCTGTGGCCTCCGAACCTTCGGCATCAGCCAGGCCTCAGGCTGTGAGCAGCTCCGGGATGTGCAGTCGGCTGCCAGGTGGTGCCTCACCGCCTTCTGCCTGTGCGGAGTGAAGGGAGTGGGTTTGTTCAGCGCTCAGCTGGCCATGCCTGCCGAATGGCTTTGCAAAAACGGCTTTTAATCCTTCCCGAGTGTGAATGTGGCAGGCTGCTGCATGCTCTGCTGCGGCCATGTTGTCCTCAGCCTGTTCCTCAGTTGTGTCAAGACCAGGACCAGCACAAAGCAGAGGCAGATTCTCACAAGCTCGAATGCTTGTCTCATACTGATTGCACTGGGATTTGGATTGGGGCTCGCAGCAAGACATGCATGAATGCTTGCTGCAAACTGTGTGTTGGTCGGAGCCAAACTGGTCAGCAGTGCTGCCTACCCCAGTTCATGATGTTGCTGGAGATGGTTGTGTGTCCAGGTAGATTCAATCTCTGCTTCACCTATTCTCTTCGGTTTCTCTCTTTCAGCTCTGAATGTTGCTTTTGCTGCAGTGACCATCAAGATGCTGAGTTCAACCTTTGCTGGATTTCCTTTGGGCAGCGCAGCAGGCCTGGAGCTGTTCCTTATGGCAGCACATCAGGAGTGCTCGAACAGTGCATGTTTCCCATTCCCGTGCTCCTGTTTCCCTCAGTTGTGATGGGGGACTGCAGCTGCTGCGATGAGAGCGCACAGCAGGGCTGCTGGTGGCTCTGTGTGCATTCACACGGGGCATTTGCACAGCTCCCCTCCTCAGAAGAGCTTTACATTCAGCCTGCAGATGACGACAGTATCTATATGTCAGCCTCAGTGAGAGCTGGCAGCTGTGGGCATCCCTATGGAGGGAAGAGCAGCCCAATTCTTGTCCCAAACTTCTCATAGGGTCACAGCAGCAGGAAGAGAACCCAGGAGCATGTACAGGGGGAGGCTCTGAGCCCAGAAGATACCTATGGTTGGGAACAGGGAGGGCAGCAGGAAGAAAGGTTCTCTAGTTCACAGTACACTAACTCTGCACCCTGCTGCATAGCATGCAGCATCCTCTTGCTTGCTGCCCCACCTCAGCCTGGTGTGAGCTGGGCATGTGTTTATGAATGTAAAATAGGCTGTGTGCACAGAGGCAAGATGTTTACTGTAAACGGAGCCAGGCGGTAAAATTTGGGGGGGGGGGGGGGGGGTGGGTCACTCTGTCTCTGTTGGGGGTAGGAAGGCCAAGCACTTCTCTCGGTAAACAGCTCTGTAAGTGACTTTTTAAGTTCATTTTCATCCTGTGTTTTGTACCAGGTGACTTTCTCAAGGTCACAGCATTGCTCCCACCTTCTCCCCCTGCAAAGGGTATCAGAGCCTTGCTGGCACCAATAAGTTTCTAATTAGGCTGAGCAGCCTCATCTGACTCGACTCGACTCGACTCAACTCAACTCAACTCGACTCGACTCGACTCCCCTCCCCTCCCCTCCCCTCCCCTCCCCCACATTCTCCCCACCTATTTTGATTCCCAGTTGCATTTAAGCCTGGCTCCTTGCCTAGTACAGCCTTCGGGCAGATGTCCCAGTACTGTCCCTATTCTCTTGGCTTGCTCTCAGCTCTGCCTGACTGCCCTGAGCTCATCAATTACCAAGACACAGGTGGAGTACCAGGTGGGATATTGGTTTTGGGTGGCCAAAAATAACTCTCACCCAGTACTGAAGACTTTGGCTTGGAGATGGGAAATGGGAATTGAAGTGAGTGGTGTCAGTGGTGCAGGTGCTGACAGCTTCCGTTGGCTCAGAAGAATTTGTCAAGATACAGCTTGCTCTGGTGGGTGACTGCATGTGGTTCTCCTGCATACTGGCCCTTGCCCTCCTGACTGCTGCGTTCCTCCCCATGCAGCCTGTGGCTGTCCTGCATGCGCTGAGGATGTTTGGTGTCCAGAAGGATGGCTTCAGAGCCCAGTCTGAGAAAGATGTGCTTGGCCACCTTGGCTCTCGCTCTTATTAATGGGGAGTTAATGGCTGACTGCTTGGATGAGGTGTAAATCCCACTGCTGTTAGCTGTGCAGTAGCTGCAGACAGGGAAACAGCCCTGTTCTGGGATGATGGTAAATAGGCGTTGCTCTCTTTTAGGGATGCCTCTTGCCCTAGTATGTTGCAGCCCTCCTAGCACTGTCCCTATTTTCCTTTATGTTGGGTTATGTGTAGCTCAGGTCCAGCACCTTTCCTTTTTGCCTCAGCTGCAGCGTAGGGATGATTTGAACCTTCATTGCTAGTCATTTTTGTCTCTTTTTCTGTTAATAGTTTCTCATTATGATGAAGTATTCTGTTAAGATGGATAAGAGGTTGAGGGTGAATGGCCAGAATTGATGGGTCATGATTTTGAGAGAGCCTGAAGGTTTTCAGGCTCCAACTAGCAAGAATGAAGGTTTGGCCATGCTGCTTTTGGCAGATGCTTTGTCGTCGTCGTTCCTGTCGGGTCCTGCTCCTCCTGCCCACACCCAGAAGCATTGCAGTGTTTGCCATTGTGATTCCTGGGAAAGGGACTGGAATTCTTCACCCTGCTGGGAAATGCAGGTCACTCTGTGCTTAGGGTTGTGTTTCTGGACGTGGGGGCAGAAATTGCAAAATGTGATTTCCACCCTTTGTTTTATGGGCAAAAGCCCTTGGTTTAGCAAATACAACCATACTGTTCTTACTTCCCACATGTTCCCTTGTATTCCAATTTGAGAAAACTATTAGCAGTGTTAGGATGGGGGTGACTGTTCATTAGGTGTTTCCCAGCTCTAAAGAGACCCATTTGACTGCTTTTCTCATTTAGAGCCTGACTCTCTGGTCATGCACACAGCGGACTGGTGCTAACCTGGTGCCTGGAGGTGATTGGTAGGCGATTGCACTTTTCTTTGCTGTGAGTTGGAGAAACCAATATCTTTCTCCAGCCCTGGAGGAATCAAGTATTGCAGGGGTCATTTGCTGGGATAAAAGTTGGGTTAAATCTTCAGTGACCATTTCAAAACCAGATCTAGGTGGAAGAATGTGACTAAGGTGCTTATTTCCCAAACAAGTCAGCAATCTGGGTTACAAATATTTATGATCCTTCAATCGGGAAATAGATGTGACTTTGCCCAGAGTGCAGGAGAGCGTGAGCAGTGGGCTGAGCCACACAGTTATGTGAAAACCAAGACAGCGTGTGGGTGCTAAGATGAACTCATGGCTGTGGGCAGAGCTCTGTCATCTCTTGGACTTGCAGAGAGGAGAAATGCAGCTGTGGTTTCCACTCTCCTCTGGAGCCCTAGGCCACAAATTTAGATGCTGACAGATGCCTCAACTAAGCTGCAGTCCTGTCTGGCATGGAGATACAGGGGTGGGCCATGAAGGTTTGTAGGTGTCCTGAACCAACTGGAGTGGCTCAGCTGTGGTTGGATCAGCTGTGATTTCTGCTTTCAGCTGCCATGCCCATATGCTCCCCTTGCACGACACCATGTGGTGAGTGTCTCATCTTGCACAGCTGTGGGGCCAAACCCTGTTTGGGGATGTGCCAGCCCTCCCTGCTCAGCTGCTTTACAGCTCAGCCTCAGAGCAGCTGCAGTGGGCAGCAGCAAATTCTGGTTCAAAGTAAGACTAAGTTCATCCAAGTCTCCCCATTGTTTACTCATCTTTCCTCCTCCTCCTTTCCCCTCCCTGTGTCAGGCCTGAATCATTGCTGTTATCTAAATTCTGGCGTCACCAAATCTTGACAACATGTTGTCTCTTTGCCTCCCGCTGTTTGCCAATCATACGACACCTCTGTTTCACACGTTTATGAGCTGCAGTGTTCCATAAACAGGAAAAGAACTAAATCTCAACTTATCTCCAGGTCTGCTAACACCACAAACATGAGGAATGCTGTGGCATTCAGGGTGGAGGTAACAGATCGGCTATTTTAAATACTCCCCCAAGGTTTCAGAGGCAACGCTGCGTGCCTGGAGAAATCTCAGCTGACAGTTGTCTGCTCAGAACACCTGGGAAGCTCTTTAGAAATGGCAGTTTATTTGTTCTGCATTTGTCTTGGTGACAGCAAGAATCGCTGCGCCTTTTCCTTCAGTGGGAAAGTGGAGAACTGTTTGAGCTTCTCCAGCTGTTTGGGGGGCTTTGTAGTACAGGGAGGGGCGATGCTGTTGGAAATGCCGGATGTTTCTGCTGCACATGCTGAACCAAACAGGTGGCTAGCAAATGAAAATTGGCCCAAAGAACCTGTCCTTAAACTACTCATACTTGGTGCTTGTATTAGCATTCTTATTTGTCGGTGGAAATGGTAAAAAATAGATGTAGCTCAGATTCTCTTATGTGTAAGAAAATCAGAAAAATGCTTAGATTTGCCTTCCTTCTCTGAAAGTTACCAAGAAGGACTGCAAAATCTAAGTAGACTTTTCCTCTTGGTGAGCCATCACAAATGAATGAGAACCACATGCAGGTCCTTAAAATGTAGAATTTGTGTTGGAAAGGCTGCAAATGGATGCAGAGAAAGCACAGGCTGCAGACACTCTTCATATGCTTCAAACCCATTTCAGAATCTTTATTGGAAAAACAAATTAATTGCAGCATCTCAACTGTTATTCAAACACATTTAATAAACAAAGAGAAACAGTAGCAAAGGGCACTGACAGGTGACAAACTGTACAGAACCTCTGGATTTGCAGGCAAAGGAGGAGCCCACAGCCCAGCTGCAGGGCTGGGGTCTGCTCCATCTCACTGCCCCCTCTGCCTCAGCCCACTCAGTCACCCCTGAGAAAATCTATTTAAAAATATGCAGAAACAAAGACACTGTAAAAGGTTATTTCCAGCCTTGCCATAATAGAACAACCAGGCCACTGGAAAAACCTAAAAAAAAAAACCAAAACCCAAACGTCACACTTTCCATTCCCAGGACTAATGCTTTGAGGTGAACTCTCCCAAGAGGTACAAACACTCTTAGATATCCAGTACCTCTCCCCCTTCTCACAGCATACTACCTTAGAGTCAATGGGGCAAATTTCATCTTCATTGTTAGTTTTGATATAATTGTGAGTGAGTAAAAGGTAACAGAAGGAAAAGCCCTGTGCTGAGCAAATAGAGATGCAGCTGGTACATCATGCTGAGCGGCCCTTGGTCTGGGGTACAGGTCATTAGCACTATCAGGGGAGAAGAAATCCTCCCCTGGGATCGTATCTTCATGATCTTTGTGCCTTGTCCTAAGTATCATTCAACAGTAAGGGCTATTCAGGAACAGACTGGTTTTGTATGTCAACTCTGTTGAACTGAAGGCCTGTGCAACCGAAGCCAAGGAGACTCGAATACACTGACAAGCCCTTGCTGCAGAGAGCAGTGTGGAGGGGAGATCCAAGGTGCAGCCTTGATAGTCTTTCACATGGATGAGTTAAAAAGCAGCTCTGCTCAGCTGACGATGGTGGTTTTTTTTGTGGTGGTTTTTTTTTTTTGCTCTCTGTGGCTCAGCAGGGAGTGATGCTATCGCTTTTGCGTGAGGCAATCTCTCGTGGGCTTCACCATGTATGGCATTTTGGAACAAGGTATTGCTTTTACCTGGTTGAACTATACTGGCCAGAATCACAGAATCACAGAATTGTAGGGGTTGGAAGGGACCTCCAGAGATCATCGAGTCCAACCCCCAAATGTCTCCCTTCAGGTGAGCTCATTAGTGTTGCTGTGAGTTTGAGGTGTTCAGCTGGCGCCGATGTGACAGATGCAGCTCACCCAGTCCCTGTCACCTTCAGTCTGGTATTTCCTTCCAGTTTCCAGAAACTCCCTCCTCCAAGGAAGGCAGAGAACATAAATGAATATGAGAATTAGAGGGCTTTTCAGGCTGTTAACTTGCATTACGATGATTCTTCTTGATTTCTCAGCTGAGAGCACAATGACTGAGACTACAAGATACTGGCAGAGGAGAGATATCTATAATACCACAGTGTTATTTAGGCCCAGCCAAGCTGTATGGTCTAATCACACCAATACCATCTCACTACATTATAAATGGGGAAGATGGAGGGAAGGAGGAGAGCTGGGTTCTTCAGCACAATGGCAAGCCAGCTGTGTTTCAACAGCCTGTAACTGACAGAATGTGAATTCAAAGACATTTGGCGTGGTCTGTTGTTACCAGGACTGAGCTGGCATGGATAACTGACTGGCAATTCTTGTGAATGAGGCAAAGCCTCCAGTGAAAGCATGGAACATTGGCAAAGGATGGAAAAGGACAGGCACGAGTATGTACCAAGAGGCCAAGTGCAGCTGTGTTGCTCTGTGCCTTTGCTGTACGCCTTGTTTACTGAACTGGCTGTCAGACCTTTGGTAACATTTTGCTATCCTTAGGCCCTGCCAGCAATAAGTGATAAAACAGGTGACCTTCCTATTTCCATCTCAACACCATAAGGAGACCACAGGTAGCTGACTTTTTCCGTAAAAGAACCAAACTCCTCAAACCAGGGGAGGAATTTCTGATACCTTATTGAGAATCATCTGCTCTGTGCTCATCCATGTCTGCAAATTCCAACATCTCCAAAGCTTTGCATGTAGCATTAGTTTGGGATTTGACTCAAGAAAAACTAAGTGCCGGGACACGTGGGCTACAAGAACAAAGCAGGGACGAAAGGAGAAAAATGCACAGCAGCAAATTCCTAAGAAATTTCATTTACCAGACTAGGAGGGACATGCCCTTGGTTAGGGATGGCACAGCTTAACATAGAGGAAACAGTGACTGCAATTTGGCTAAGATTAGAGTTCAAGAGAGGCACAAACGAACATTTTGCACATCTATCCAAGGCATTCAAAAAAAGTCACAGAAGTTGACACATTGGACAAAATATATTACAACAGTTTGGCAACTTTTCACACGCCCCACACCCCCAGCTCTTGATGCCCCTGTGTAATTTGAGCTGATCTCTTTAAAGGTTGGGGACATGAGGGAAGATGCAGTTAAATCACTGTATGTAAATAGCGGATCTCCTCTGTAACAAGTCCCGTGGGTAAAATCAAACCTACCTGCTTGCTACAGTACAAAAGAAGTTCTGCCCACAGTCCTCCCTTGGTGAAAAGGCAGGTGACAGAGCCCATGCTGCTGGATACAAGGCAAAGCTGAACTTGGCTGGAACAAGTCCCTAACCTTGTGATTTTGCACCAGGCTAAGATATATGGTCATGGCAAGGTGTCGAAGGGGAAGATGTCACCATTCTTCTTCAACAGAGAGGTATACAGGACAGAACCATTATTCTGTCACTGTTCTAGGTGAACACAGGTCTGTTTGCATGCATGAGAAGAAATGGGCTTTGGAAAACGCCAGGAGCCCATATATGATAGTGCTAACAGCAAGACCTGTGTTAGATGCACGTGTAACTCCGCTCCCCTTATTAGCGAAGCTCAGCTCCTAGGAATTGTACAAGGAACAAATACAAAGCAAGAATGAAAAAAACTGTTTTTTACAAGTAGCTTCTTTGCTCCTTCTTTTAAAGCCCTGTTCTGATCTGTGGGGGACTGGCTGATCAGGAGGGAGCACTGCAAGATCTCTGCACTGTTCTGATGGTTGTAGACATAGGCACAGGTCAAACACACCTTTCCACCCATGGCAGCCTGTGTAAGGTAGGACTGACCACAAGGCTGTGTGGACCTAAGCAACCTTTGCAAAGAATCCAACTGGGAATCCAGCACAGCTGTTGTTGGAAAAATTCAGTACAGCACTGGCCAAAAAATAAAACAAATACTTGTGGAACGGACTGAAATCCACCTGGAAGAGTTTTGTCCTTTCTTGTTCTCCAGAATAGAAGGAAAGCCTTTGGTTAGGACTAGAATTACTCATAACTGGCAGGACAGGCTTGGCTTTGCTTTGCATTAGCTTGGTTACTGTACAGGGGCAAGTTTGCATTGTGGAGACATGCTCTGTCCAACTAGATTGCCCTTTTGACATCTGGGAGTTCTAGAGGAGTGGACACTTGAATTACATCCGAGATCCTCGCTCTTGAAGAATCTGAAAAAGAAGAGAGCCTCTATAAATAACTCAGGCAAGTTTAGAAGCCAAAGTTCATGATCCAAATCTTTGGCTTTTGTAGAGGAAGGAAAGGTAGTCTAACAAGAGAAGGAATGAGAGAGTAGCCTATTGGCGTCTATGCTACCGTACCGAATGACAGGCTGGTTAAAACAGAGTCTCTTCTCTAGAAATGCTTTAGCTGCCTGCCGGGAGTTAAAAATGTCATCTTTTGTTGCTGTCCTGGGGAAAATGCATGGACTGAAGGAGAAAAACAATGTCAGTCTTCTTCCCACAGTATCCTTCAGTCACAAAATCCTCTTTTTTTCCAAGTCTTTCCTCTTTTTTTTCCCCCCCTTGATTTGAATGCATGGTAAACCAGAAAATCTTTTAAGAGAGGGAAGGTCATGCACACAGGAGAAAATATGAAAGCTGGTATACAGAAAAAAATAAATATATATGTGTGTGTAGGTATACTGCAAATTGTGGATCTCCTGATGTAAGATGTGTTTTTTTTCTTTGCATAAGGGAATTCAAGACAATGCATTTGAGGAGATGCCTCACCTTTGCCTTCTCGCTGGGCTCTTTGACAATGCCATTGGTAGAATTGTTGAGTTCCCTAGACACAACACAGAGGAATTCTGCCTGGTCTTCATTTCCATAGTTATATGAAGATCCAATGCTGATTAGCTGTGTGACAGAAGACAGCCAAGGTAAGGATGACTCTATTGGTAAATCTTGACTTCTGCTTTATTCCTGCAATTGCCTTTTCTGCTACAACTGTTCAGAGAGACCTGTTCTGACCTGAAGTGCCAACAGGTCACATCCCTTCCCATATTCCAGTGTCACAGTCTTTCCCAAAGTGTGTTTGTAAGGCAAGTATTTACACAAGCACCAGACACATCTGTACATTTTTTACTAGTACCTGTTCAAATTTCCACCCATCAGACATGGTGGACACCATCTGTGTGAGCTCTTCCTCTTGGCACTGAAGGACTCTGTATACATGCTTCACAGGTCCCTAAAGAATGGAGAATAAAAATAAGCAGGAGTTTAGCAACTGTTGTACTAGTATCAAGCTAGGAAACTAATTAGCCTTTTACAGGGCCTCCTGCTCTGTCTGCTTGCTGTTTGAAGAAGTTTCAACCATATGGGCTTCCTGAGGTCTCATTCTCGTGACTATCCAGTTGATTCTAAAACTGCTACAAGGAGTTAGCATGCTTTTTAAAATCCTTCCAGGTGCTTATGTGCCAGTGAAAGCAATACTTTGTTGTCTTTTAAAGCCATTTACTGTTTTTTAAATCAAACGTACTGGGATTTGGATATCAGTTCAGCAGCAGAGACTGATATAAAGGGCAGAACGTGGTTCAGAGAAGGAAGAGTTAAACTATTCCTTACCTCCCAAAACATCTGTTTCGTTTCCCTATCTTTGTCTGTAGCACTTTTAACTGTTCATTGTCTTTCCCTGCACTGTTAATAAGATGACTCAGTAGCCTGTACTTGTGAAACCACAATGGATCATCTATCCCAGCTGTGGTTTCGTTTAACTAAGAACACTGATTGTCACTGTTAGAAACAAACCAAAGAACTTCTACCGGAAGCACCTATAGCCACATCCTCCTACTGTGCTACAGAAAATGACTGACTTCAGTATGCAAAACCCATGTGCATTACTTGAGAGGTTCTGTTCTCATTATCCCGTATCCGCTCCTTCACCAGCCGCACAAGCGACGCAATGTTGTAAAACTCAGCTTCTTCCAGTACCCCTAAGGAAGGAATCAAAAGCAGGCAATCTGTTACTTTATAAAGAGCAGAACAAAGACAGTTCAGCTACAAGAGTGCAATACCTGCTACTGACTCCAAATCTTTCCCACGTGTAAGAAAAGCCCTGGGCGCTAAACGGACTGTGCCTCTGACCTCACGCTCCCAGACTGGAAGAAAACAAGCTGCCTCCCTCTGTGGTTAACAGAACATTTAAGAAAGATTATTCCCCTTTCCCTAGGATTAAGAAACCCCGTGGTACAATCTCTAATATCATTCATGCAGCCTCGCTCAGGGGAAGGTCACCAAGGCTCCTTGCTTGTTCAGAACTGCTGTCTGTTTGGGGAGAAGAGATGCTGTTCAAAAAGTGCTATAAAACAGTGCTTGCAGTTCTTCTGTGTTTCTCATACCTTCTTCTGCGAGCTCCTTGTTTATGATGAGCTTCCCATGTCGGAGGTAGTTCAGTATTGGACCAAAATATGTGGGATCTCTATCGATGAGATACGCTCCTGTCTCATCCTGTTGAGTGTGCACAGAAATGAAGCAGGCACAGTTAAATGGCATGGCATTTCACTTTTAAATTATACACTGAACAGCTTTTCTTTGAGAATCTGGATTCCTTTGCTTGTGAAAAGCGTATCTGTGACTCTATGCTTCAGCCAGCATTTTTCTCAGTATCTGAACTCAGCTGTAAATGCTGCAGCTCATAACGCTGGCGGATGTCTCCCAGTCAGTACTTCCACAAACAAGCTCGCATAAGTGAAGAGACGAGCAGGGCTCAGCAGTTTTGCTTCACTGCAATAACAAAATACAAAAGCTGGCAGTCATGCTCTGCCTAAATTGGTTTTCCATGCTAGTTTAAATAAGAAACCTGGAAGAACATTTGGATTTCCAGTTCTGATTAACAGCATGTGATAATTCAAAGTACTTTTTTTTTCCCCCCCTTTCTTTGAATTACTGGAAATGCCCATTGCAGTGCACCAGTCCTGTCTCTGAACAGTCTCCAGCAGCTGGGCATACAACATCATCACATTACCAGCAATCCACAATTAAAAGCATTTCCTGAAGCAGCATGGAAGGGCTGATAAAGCCTGCGTGGCTGTTTTTCATGCCGTTTCCTTCTATCACTTTAAAGCAATGCAGGTCCTGCTAGGCAGCCTGCTCCAAAGCAATGAAATGCTGAGGTCTTCCAAAATGTCATCTCCTATCTTTGCTAAGACTGGTAACCATTACTATGGCCATAACCTGGATTTAAATTCTACTTAAGCAGATATAAAATGCTGTACAGACACTATAGAAACCCTGCAGTAATAATAACTGTTTGTAAAACCTGTATGTTAACAACCTACAGCAACTGCAGAGCTATATGTCCAGTAAAGCTCTTGAACTGGGATCTTTTCTAAGAGCAGAAGTAAATACAACGAAAACCACACACATCCTGGGGGCGGCGCATCATTTAAATCTCTGTTTCTGGGGAAGTTTCTCTCCCTGCTGCGTGCAGTAGCAGCAGAAGGGCGCTGGGGCGCTCCGGAGGAACAAGGAGGCGGCGGGGGCTGCAGCAACGGACGCACGACTCGGGGTGGTGCCGGGACTCCGTAGACCCTGGCCGGGCCCGGTGGGAGCGGGAGGTCCGGGCCTCACCTTGTCGGAGCCGAGCTCGGGCCCGTCCTGGCAGCAGAGGCGGCACAAGAAGGACTTGGGCTCCCGGCACAGCGTCTGTCGGGTGCTCACGAAGTACGTTCCGCCCACGTTCAGCCGCACCCATTTGGAGGCGGAGGGCGGCCGGGCCGCACCGGCGGGACTCGGGCTCAGCATAGCGCCGGAGAAACCCGGCGCGGCCGAGCGAGGGCTGGGCGGTCCCGGCACTCCCCCGGGGCCCGGACTGGGTGTGCGGCCCCGCGGCGGCCCTTCCGCCGCTGCCAGTTCCGCCATGGTGGCCGCCCTCAGCGCCCCCACGCCGCCATCCCCGATGCCGCCGCTTCCGGCGCACCAAGCACTTCCGTGCGCGGAGCTGCATGACGCATTTCCGCTAGCGCTGTGCTCTGACTGGCCGACGGGGCAGGACTTCCGGTGCGTCGCTCGGCAGCGCCAGAGGACTGCGGTAGCGGTCGGTGAAGGTGAGCGGGTGAGCGGAGGAGAGGAGAGGGAAGGGAAGGGAAGGGGAGGGGAGGGGAGGCGAGGCGAGGCGAGCGGGAGGCTGGCTGGCTTCCATCTATCGCCCCTTGGTAGGCGGCGTGGGGGCCCAGAAGGAGTCCCGAGTTCCGTGGACTCCGGGGGGCGCCGGTTCCGGGCTCTGCCTGCCGTGACCCGCTCTCCTCTCGCGGCAGCTCAGCGTCATGGCGGCCCGCAGAACTGCCGTCAAGGCCATTGACTGGGCGGCCTTCGCGGAGAGGGTGCCCGCCAACCAGCGCGCCATGTTCAACGCCCTGAAGACCCGCAGCGACGCGCTGTCCGCCCGGTGAGTGCCGCCTGCAGCCTCTCGCGGAGCTCCTGGCCGCTGTCTCGTGTTGTAGTTTCCCACGGTGATCCGAGAGACGGCACGGCAGTCGCCTTTAGGGCAGGCGGTAGCGGTTTCTTGTAGTGAATCTTCTTTGCTTAATCCTCCGCACAGTTAAACTGCGGCTGCGATGTGAAAAAAACTAGTTCTGTGAAAGCGCTTCGCTTTGGTGGATTTAAGAAAAATGAAATGCTTTGAAAACCTCGTTGCTCAGTTAAATGCTATGCAGACAATGGTTCTTCCAGGTGCTTTGGCATCTCCTGCTTGATGCATGCTTGCTATTACAGTTAGCATTGCCTCTTGCCTCTGACATGTGAAAGCTGTCTGTGGTTTCTTATAAAGCTGTCTCTTAGAGATGCTGTGCAGTAGCATGAAGTGGGAGGGACTGCGGGTTGAATTTGTCTGTCCATAGGGAAAAATCTGTTTCAGGGGTAAGGGAGTTTACAGAATTGGTTCATCACTAGTTATTAATAAGTAGATATTTTCTGTTCAACTCAGCAGGGTCTGTTAACTCTCTTGAAAGTAGGAGGGAGCAAGTGATAGCGTCAGGTTTGTACTGGCACTGGTGGTGACCGCTGTCCTTCCTCTCCTTAGGTTGGCTGCACTGCCTGAGAAACCCCCTGCCATTGATTGGGCTCACTACAAGATTGCTGTTGCTAAAGCTGGCATGGTGGATGAGTTTCAGAAGAAGGTCGGTGTCTTTGTCAGCTGAACATTATTACTCTATGGAGGCTTAAACAGGGAATATCTTTTAGTTGAAAGCACCAGAATAAAGGTATTTTCAGTTTTGGCTAGTAGCTTCCTTTGTTTTATGTCCTGCAGATCAGTCACTCACCTGAAAGAAAGAAAACTCAGTCTGTAGGAGCAAATTTGAGTAGTGCCTCTCCTGAAACAAATATTTGGTGTATTTCTTTAATTTACTGAATAGTAGAAAATTATAAGTGCAGGTCTGCAGACTAAGAACGTGCAAAGCCAACTTTGATGCCTGTGGGGTTGTCATCCCATTTAGAAATGACCTGAAAAAGAATGAGCCAAGCATTTGCTGAAGGTCACACAATGTCACTGGCAGCATGGAAATTGGCTGCTGTAAGACCAAAATAACCAAAAGATAGATGTGGGAACTCTGAGGAAAATCTGTCCATGATAGGATACATCTTTGGTGTTAGACTTCCTCGTGGTGCTGTGCTTTGCTGTGTGCAATGCTGTGATGAGTATGCATAGTACAACGTGTCCTGGTGATGATGTGCAATATGTAATAGCTCACTTTAAGCATACAGGTGAGTGGTGCTGCTTGAGAAATGTGCAATCAAGATGCAGAGGTCATTTTTTAAAAGCTCATTAAGCTATGCGTTTGTGAGCATGTTGTGTCATAGGAAGAGTGGAAGGAACACTCCCCTGCTGCTGGGGAGAACCACCTTTCACACGCAGGGTTATGTAAATCAAACTGTTTCAAATTTTTCTTTGTTTTCCAGTTCAGTGCACTGAAGGTCCCTGAACCAGTGGATACACAAACTGCCAAAATTGATGCCCAAGAGCAGGAAGCTGTAAGTGTTTGAAATGTTCCTGGATGCCAGACTTGTCTCTGAGTCCTGTGAAGATGGGAAGGGGTGAGAGGGAAGGTGTGTTCTGTACTGGCGTCTGCACAGGCAGAGCAGCCTGAGAGTATGGCTCTCTGGTCTTTCTTTGCATGTCTCTGGCTTTTGGCTAAGCAAAAGATTTTTTGCTTTGGGAAGGGCTTGGATTTTGTTCAAGATTTTGTCCGCTTGTGTAATGACAGAGAATTGTAACATGAGCTTTGAAGGTGGTGTTGCAGGTTCACTCTAGATTGACATCTTTATTATAACTATATTCACCATGCCCTCTTTTTTCTTGCAGACCAAGAACATTGTGGAGTATGTGAAAGCTTCCAAAGCTCGTATTGCTGAGTATGAGCAGCAAGTAAGTATGGATGTTGCTTTGTGAATATTCTCTTTAACCCTGCTTTGCACACTCTTTTTCTTTCCTGTGCGTGCTTTGCTCTTTCTTGCTGATGAGTGATTTGTAACATATTTGTCTCTGCTCTCACTTCAAGCTTCAGAAGCTCAGAAGCATGATTCCATTTGAACAGATGACTTATGAAGACTTGCATGAAGCTTTTCCTGAAACCAGACTGGACAGGGAGAAGTATCCATACTGGCCACACAAACCCATTGCTGATCTGTAAACTGGCTTGGAAACAGTTTATCTGATGACTGTCAGAATGAATTATCTCTTAAATAAAAGTGTTTTCCCTCCTGTCTGTGGCTTAGATCTTTAGCTGTGAGGTTGCAAGGTTTTGAGAAATATGGAACCACACAGCAATGCACAAAGAGGGTGGTTTTCATGGATTTTGTCTGTTACTGGTGAACTGGTTTTACAGCAAGTACTAAGATCTGAGCTAGATCTGCTACTAACATTGAGTCCTCACACAACTTCTGTAATTTACCTTTGTAACCACGTAGTACAGGGAATGTGGTTCTGCCTTTGCAGGTGAATTGTTGCTTAGGAGATAGACTTGCACTCCAGCGCCACAAAATAAGTTATGTTTAGTAGTGATCTGCAGGGTGATGTCTGTCTCAGGGGTTTTAGAGGCAGTGTGCTGGGGCTGCTTTCCAGGTTGGCTGTGTTGGTTTAGGTGCAGTTGCAATAGGAGTTTAAGGAATTAGGTGAGATACAGAAGTTCAGAAGTATGATATTTTGAACATCCCAAGCGTTGCTCCCCCATAATCCTGGTGATCCTACCAGTCTGGATTTCTGTATGTTGCAGATCTCACTCAAAATCACAGAAACAATAGAACAAAGGCTTCGTACTTTGATTGATTTATTTAATTATCTGAGTAGGAATTCTTAAATGTCTCTCCTCAAAATGAAAACATCTCCATAAATGAAAAAGGGCTTTAGGTCCCTTTTTCTGAGCTGTAAGAATTACTATTGGATAGAATTAAGGTATTCTCTTCGAGTTCCATTATAGCTTTATCTAATTACTTTGTTAGCCCACGGAGCACTTTCAGAATATATGTATGTTTACAGAACTAGAGTACAATGCACACACCATGCGGACTTTATGCTCTGGTTGTGGTTTGTTTTTTTTGTTTTTTTTTTTTTTCTAATTTAGGCAGCTGAAACAACTGGTTTGAATTGAGCAGTAAAGAAAATACAGCAGAGGGCTTGGAAGAAATAAAATGGAGAAAGACTGAGCGAGCATCGCACAGAGCTGGTCCCTAACTGCTCCATTTTATAGAGATAACAGCAAAAAAAAAGAGTGACAAGAAGAAATGGCTGTAGAGAAGCACCTTCTCCAGAACTATCAGAACCGGGTCCTGTTCCGGTGTTTTCCAGCAGGGCTTGGTTTGCTGCACTTTTTCCTGGGTCGTCTTGGTAGGATGTTTCATGGCCTGGTTTGTCATTGGTGGCTTGGTGTGTACACCTGCAAACAGCAAACACTGGGATGGGGCAGGATGGGGTGGCTGCCAGGAGCACTGACTGGAGCACTTCTCGCCTGGAGGAAACCCACCTTGACTTGAACCTGCAGGTAAGGTGCAGGCAACCCAGCCTGCTTGTTTCAGAATTTTTGGGTTGCTTTACCTTGTTGGACTGTTCCGAAAGCTTTGCCCAAGCGTAGGGATTTGTGCTGATGGTGCAACAGGAAGAAGGTGTCCAGCACAGCCATGATCATCAGCAGGAAGGTGCCTAAGAAAAAGAGCACTGCAAAACAACAGGAAAGCAAATAAGGATTTGGTAACAGGCACGATTCTCTTGAATCTGTAATCTACCTGAGAAAGGAAATTGCTGTCTGCAGCCAGCTGGTGAAGGGTAACTTTTCATGATGTCATTGCTCATGAATGTGCCCGCGAATGCCCAGCGATTTTCTTAGAGTTGTTACCTGAGTAATATGCAGGATGCCATCAATAAAGATGAGTACCTATTATGGGCGGTTCGTTGGAGGAAGTTGGAAGCATATTGTTGAGAATCACAGCTAACATGGAGCTGCCAAGAATGATGGAAATCTGGAAACTGATTTTCTCCTCGAGAGAGCTGGGTCCAAACAGCACAGCCATGTCAAGCAGATACAGGGCGCACGTTGGGAGGATGAGGTTCAGAATATACAGAGTGGGTCGTCTCTTCATGGAAATCTGTTGAAGAAGATGGACAAAATTTGAGTAAGAGATAACACACTCTTGAGTGGATGCTTACTCCCTGATGTGGAAAGCTACCTTGCTTCATACTTTCTTTTTTTTTTTTAATATTAACACAGAACAAAATGAATTTACATCAGTACCATATAGGTGATCACAGGAAATTCTCCATCGTCCATTTCTTCTATGTACTCATTGATGCTCAGGTTGGTGAACTTCCATTCTCCATCAGTTAGGAAGAAGCTCTGGCTGTTTACCAGCATCTCAGCTGGTGTCCGCTT